GCCCGGACGTGCCCGCGGCCTGCGAACCGGCTCCCAGCCGCCTTGACCTCCGCTGGCAGGGGGCGGACGTGAGCGACGTCACAGGCCCAGCCACGCGCCGCGTGCACTCACCAGGGTGAGGGCGGCTCGGGTGGGCTGCAGCTTCCTCTTGCTCACAGCCCGGACAGTGGCCCGGACTAACGAGGCCGACATCTTCGCCGTCCCGGCGCCCGGGTGCCTCGGGCCGGAGCTCGGCCACCTCAACCTCTCTCCATGGACACTGCGGGCGCATTGACGCCACAAGCTCCGGCGCACAGCGCCCCGGGCCCCGCCCCGCCCCGCCCCGCCCGTACCCGCCATTGGGCGGGTGGTGTGAGTGACGGGCCGGGGGGCGGGGCGGCTTTCTGCGGGCAGCCCTGCTAGCAGCTTCTAGGACTGCGCGCCGCTTGGCTGGTAGTGTTTGTTAATCACCCCGGTGGGTGCAGGGACACGGGAAGTAGGCCGTCACCGCCGAGCACGGAGTCGGCGCGACCTCGTGGAGCGCAGATGGAGGACAAGCCATGACCTCCGACCTCGCTGACTTCTGAGGAGGATTGCTGGGCGAGGTGCGGCGCCATCGCCTCCTGTAACAATCAGTAACAGGCTCTTGAGGCTTCAGAGCGCCCCCGGGAGTTTTGTTCTCTAAAGGAGAACCGTTCCGATAATCGGACATCTACATCATTTTTTTCCCCTTCCCTTTTGTCCAACTCCGCAGTTATTAAGAGCACAGAATTGCTGCGGAGTTGTGCATTATGCAGTTCCCCTCTTTCCCACCTCTAGCATGCTCTACTGCTGGGGATGCTAAAGGATGGTGACTAACGCAATTTTTGTTCTGGTGCTGAATGCGGAACCCAGCTTCACAGTAAGTGACAGGGCGAATAGTCATGTTTGTAGAGGGTACCTATCAGTACCTGTTGCGAGACCTTGTCTGGCTGCTCAGGAGCATAATTCTTATTAAGCAATATTCTTGAACACCAGGCACCGTATCCCAGGCATACACGGGAAGCCACGTAAACAAGGGAAGGTTTAGGATAGAGACAGGAATTCTGTGGAGTGGTGCTGGGGGAAGGGGTATAGATTATTATTCAGTGTTTTAATAATGGAAAGTTCTTCAGAGCCCGCTTTTTCTCTGATCCTCTGGAACATACAAGGTCTGAAAGGATACCTCACAATTATCAGGCAGTCTGTCTTCCTGTTTCAGAAGAGGAATTGCATCGACAGGACTTTTTGTTGTTAATACAAACAGAAAATGGGGGGGTTGAGAGGCAGTAGGGTGGTGGGTTTGTCTTGGCTTCATCTTTGGATGATTTGGGATAAGGTATTTATTTTTTATGCCTTTCCCCCTACAGATATTGTGAAGATTAAACAAGTTAATACATAAAAAATCCTTGGAAGAGTGCAGGCACATAACAGTACTCAATAAACATAGTTAATTGATAATGAAGATGCCATGTATTGTGAAACTACTTTGTATGAAACTGTAATGGACATGTTGTTTAGTTCTCAAAACCCATATGATGTACAACATCAAGAGTGAACCCTAATGTAAACTACAGACTTTGCATAATGATGTGTCAAACCAGGTTTTTTGATTTTAACACATATACTATTGTAGTGCAGAATAATGGGAGTGGTTGGTTGGCATGTGTGGGAATAAGAGATATACAGAACTCTGTACTCTGTCAATTTTGCGATGAAACTAAAATTGCTCTTACAAGTAAAATTAAAAAGATGCCATGCATAATTTTTTCAATTACTGAAAAGCTGTAAAGCTGCGTAGCACTTTACTGGTTTGAAAAGTACCTTGTTGCACATTGTGTCCTACTGGCCTTACAACTTTGAACTGAGGGGGGCAAAAGAACCAGCTTGTCTATTACACGTGGTGCTTAAACTCAAATTCTCCAACTTAGTGCATTAGATGCTATTTAAAAAATCTAGTCCTAATTTCCTAATTCAGGATCCTGTGGGGTTTTAAAAAATTATATATACATATGTTGTTGATGGACCTTTATTTTATTCATTTATTTATATGTGGTGCTGAGAATCAAACCCAGTGCCTCACACATACTAGACAAGTGCTGTACCACTGAGCCACAAACCAGCCTTCCTGTGTATTTTTTGATGATGGGAATCAAACCCTGGTTCATGTTAGGCAAGTGCATTGAGCCAAATCCCAGCCCTAGGATCCCATGTATGTTTAAAAGCCCTTCTTTCCTTTTGAAATTCACACTATTCAGTTTTTCACTTGGGTAGCTGTTTTGCTTGTAAGCATGACTTTACATAATCTTCTTGCCAGTGGATCAGGCATACCTAATGTTATTTGAAACTGGCAGTCTCCTGAATATGTTAGGAAAGTTTTCACTTAATATGTGAGCATAATTTATCTCAGAGCAGCAGCTGTCCTGTGGTGTTGAAACAAGGCGTAAACACTAATAATGCTAAAAATTTGGAAGGGAAGAAACATCCGATTCTGCACTTCAGCATTTAGTTTCACAGTTCTAGACATTTCCCTAATAAGACCTCACTTGATCCTCATGACTCTGTAAGGGCAGGTATGATTTCCTTGTTATAGGATGGAAACTTAACTATCTGAGGTTAGGAGGTTTGCTACACAGCTAGAAAACTGGCAGGGCCAACCCTACCCAAGTCTAGAGTTCCACCTAGTGAAAGTGCAACTTTTTTAACTATTGCTGTCCAAAACGCCTGGTTTGAAGAAACAAAAACATAAACAAACAAGAACAACAATAAAAAAAAAAAAACCCACACTATTCTAAGCACTTCTTTACAGTTTTATGGGGAGCTGTAAAAATTGTTTCCAACTTTTCCCCCTTGTAACACTGTGAATTCTACTCATCTGTACAGGATTTTTTTTTTTTCCCCACCTGGGAAAGTTTTTTTTAATTTTTTTTCCCTTAGAAGCCATCTGTGAAGCATATTTCAAAAGGAAAAATAAACGTATTATCTAAGAACATTTTAAAAACATGTTTAAACCTGCACATTACTGATACTATCCACACTGAGCAAGATATAAAAAAATGTTGATTCTGGACCACTGCTATTATAAAAAAAAGGGGGGGGTGGATTTCAGTCAGGCATGGTGATGCAACCTGTAATCCCAGTCACTTGGGAGGCTGACATAGGAGGATCACAAGTTTGAGGTCAGCCTCCGCAACTTAGTGAGACCCTCAGCAATTCAGCAGACCCTTTCTCAAAATAAAAAAGGTTGGGAACATAGCACTCCATGGAAAAGCATCCTGGATACCTCAGTATCAAACAAAACAAAAACATTGGTAGTGGAGCACTGGTGGTGCTTGTTAAGACCAACAGGCCAGATGTAATTGAAAAACAGCAATGTCTTAAGAATTACACTCTGCATGGAGTGCTGAGAAAGGGTTGTGACCATCATTCAAGTGAAGAGCCAGGAGAAATCCATTCTCTAGGTTTGCAGGTAAACACTGTTCATTGTCCCACAGATCCAGTGTGAGGATTCAAAAATCAAACAAACTCCAATGTATTGGGTAGTATCTAATATAGAAATCTGAATAAAATGTAGGAAACCTTAACATTATTAAAAGGATACAAGAAAGCATCGTTTCTATGACAAGGAAGAAAATATAACAGTAAACTAGAGGAAAAGGAAGGTGTAGGTAAGTTAAGAAAGAATGATGACAAAATTCATATTAGAAAACAGCAAAGTGACACTAAAAATCAAGCCAGTCATGTGAAAATTAAACTTGAGAAGTTTTCTAGCATGATGAAAAGGAAAGATGACAGAGCATGGGATATTGAGAAAAGATAAGAGTTATCAAAAACAAAAGAAAATACTTTCTCAAAAAGGAAATGAATAGGGAGACAGATTGAATTTTGTTCCAGTCACTGGAGAGACATTTTTAGACTGAGGTAATTTTCTTTCTTAATTATGAGGATAAATAAAAAGTATACAGTATAGAAGAACCAAAGTATAAAAACAAAACTATCCGGGGAACAAAAATTAGGCTGGTCTTAACAGAACTCTTCTGCTATAATGCCAGAAGACAACAGAACAGCATCAACAGGCTTTTCAAAGAAAGTGTGACTGACATTGTAGCCCAGTTGACATTAATGCCCTAAGCAAAGAGAAGAAACCAGAAGAGCCAAAGCTGAAGAAAGTCATGTAGAGCAGGATCATCCCAGGTTGTGCAATTGGTGAGTCTGTTTAAACTGAGTAAGGAACAATCAGAAATTGTTTTGTAATTGTGACTTTCAAATTCTAAAGTTCTTTTTTTTTTAATTTATTTTTTAGTTGTAGTTGGACACAATACCTTTATTTTATTTTTATGTGGTGCTGAGAATCGAACCCAGGGTCTTGCACGTGCAAGGTGAGCGCTTTACCGCTGAGCCACAACCCCAGCCCTCTAAAGTTCTTAATTTTGATGATTCTTCCATAGCTGGGATGTTTTCAAGTACTTTTATTTATTTATTTAAATAAAAAAAGGGGGCTGGGATGTAGCTCAGTGGCAAAGTGTCTGCTTTGCATTCACAAAGCCTTGGGTTTGATCTTTAGTTCCAAAAAAGACACAGGGTGGTGGTAGTGGTGGGGAGTATATGCCTGAGTTTTCTCACATTTGTAGTGCTTGCCAGTAACATTCTCTGCATCCTTCAATTTGTGTCTTTTGTGTTCATACCTAGGGTCTGGCACATAGTGCGTTAAGATAAACATCAATTATCACAGGGCACAGTGTGGGTTAAGATAAATTTATCAGTTATCACAGGGCACACAACAAAGGGAACTTCCTGTGCATCCTATTAAAGAAGATTTGGCCTGGGGGAATAGCGCAGTGGTAGAATGCTTGCCTAACACATGTGAGGCCCTGGCTTCTATACTCAGCACTGTCCCCCACCCCCCCAAAAAGAAGGGATTGAGATTTACATGGTCCTAACTCCTTGATTTATTTTCCTAATGAAATTTAGAACTCTTTCACTAGAAAATAATGTGGATAAAATTACAGGTGGAAATTTTGATTTTATTTCAAAATGATAAATAAACGGAGGCATAGTTCTGACCATGTACTACTTTGGAAAGGCTTGTGAAGTTAGAGAAACAGTTCTGTGAGGGCTCCAGTCAGATCCAGAATGATGCCAATCAAACTTATAATTGGCTACAGCATCACTGATCTTAAGGTTTTTAAAAGTTCTCCACCCTAATTTCTGAATATCATAAAAAGTAAAAAGCACTTTTGTCACTTTTCCCTTGAAAATGTTTTTACTAGTAAGCAAACAGAACTACTTGTTTTCCTGACTTCATTTTTATAGCATAGTAGTTCTGTCAATTTACTTAAAATTAGAGAGGAAAACACCCAGAGATCTCTCAGTGGCACTTGCATATCCACTAAGGCTCACATAAATACTCATGTTTATGTTATCACTTCTACAAAGAGCAATAAAATAATGTTTGTAAATCCTAAGTACAGCAGTAGCAGTTCACACATATTTGATACGCTTCCACACAAGGATTCAGTAAACAACAATAAATATAATTTCCCCTCTTCAAAACAAAAAGGGACTTATAGGGAAAAAAGGAGTTAATTTACTTGGGGTTTTTCAGCACACTATTTTTTGTGTGCTTACAAAGAATTAAAACTATGAAGCTGTATTCATTGAATACTTGCCCATAGTTAGTTACACTTTTTTTTTTTTTAAAACCTGGCTTAAATACATACATCATGGCTTTCTATTAAAAACCTTAAATCTATGGGGATTGGTGGTAGATAAGACTATATTAAAATTTTTTTTCCTCATTAATATCATTAAATTAAAAAAATCCGACATTTCCCTTGAATGTTAAGTTGAAGCCTGATTCCTGCTGGGTCCTCTTCGATGAGGCTTTTCCCTGAGTCATATATTTACTGGAAAGGCTACCTAGAGAAGGGGAAAAAACAAAACCCAACATAAATGAAACAAGTCTCACTTCATCAAAAAAATCATAAAATTACTTCTTATTGTTAATTACAGAATTTTTTTCATCAAAACGATCATTTGTTTTGAATCAAGTAATAAGACTAGATATAAAAAAGTACATATGACATATTAAACATATGCTTAGTCAACTCTTTCTAAATGCAGACAAGCTGCTTAGAGTGATTACTTTAATACGTTTATCCATTTGTTACTTTCATGTTGGTGCAGAGGGCAGATAAACCCAACTTTTCAAGACTCTGCTTTACATAGATTAGTGTCCTCATTTGCAACTAACTAGAATAGATTGCAAAGAATTCTTGGACCAGAAATAAATATCTTGCATCATTACTCTGCAGATTAAGTTTTGGATGGTGACATGGTATTTATAACTAATAAAAGAAAAAAAAGAAATTTATTATATTTATAAGTGAAGGACAGGAAAGAGAATTACTAAGTCAACCATACAGTAGTGCAGTTACTAAAGTTTGTTCTGGAGCCTAAACAAATAGATCAATGCAACAAGAGAGAGTTGAGAAATTCTTTAGAGATGATGCATAACAGAGTACTTGTACATAATGAAGGTTGCAATTTCAAACCAATAGGGGAAAGTATGAATTATTCAATAACTAGTATTGTATCAAATATATATTTTTTGAGGGAGAAAGAAGTTAGTTTCCTTTCTCCAACCATATCCCTGCTTCTTCATTCATTTCCAAAATGAATTACAGAATTAAATATAAGTATAAAAAAGTCAAAGTATAAGCAGTAGCAAATACTTAAAAAATAGTGGGTGGGAGCGTTCCTAAGCATATCATATCACCATACCTAAAGGACTTATAAGTCAATATAGAAAAGATGAACACCAACAGGTATCTGGGCAAAGAAAAAAAAAAAAACAATATACAAAAGAGAAAAAGTGGCTAAATATATGTAAAAAAAGTACTTAGCATTACTAAAGTCAAGAAAATATAGACGTGCATGAAATGAATACCACCAAAATAGTTTTCGTCTGTCAAATTTGCAAAAATTAAAATTCTGACAAAATCAAGTATTTGTAAGGATGTGATGTGTGGAAATAGCTCAGACACTACTGGTGGGAGCTGCAATTGTTTAGCCAGTAAGATGGTAATTTAATAGTATCTAACTAAAATGCACATATACTACGATGTAAGGATTTCACTTGTAGGTATACTAACCTATAGAATCTCTCATACATGCTCAAGGAAGACTCCCACAAGGATGTTCATTACAGTACTGCTTATAACAGCAAAATATAAGACCTAGGTATAAATGCCCATATCCTAGGCAATAAAAACATAAATATTTTGTATTCATATAGTGGAATATTGTACAAAATACTAAATATATATAGCAGCATATAAAAATCTTAAAATTATTTTAACTAGATATGAAAAATAGGTGGGGAATAAAATTCTTATTTTAAAGTTTACAATATGCCATTTAAATGTAAAAATTCATCAAGTACATACATGTAAGAGTTAACTTATAATAATGGATGCTTCTTGGGTAGAGTGGGACCTGAGAGAGATGGGCCTGGTGATGACAGTTAAAGGGTACTTCTACTATATTAATAGTCTTTTATTTAGAATCAAAGATTAAACATTTTTCTAAGAACAGTACTAATGACATGAGAGGCTGAAGCAGGAGGATGGCAAGTTCAAAATCAGCCTCAGCAACACAGCAAAGCCCTAAGCAACTTAGCGAGATCCCGTCTCAAAATTAAAAAAAAATAAATAGGGCTAAGGATGTGGCTCCGTGGTTAAGTGCCCCTGGGTTCAATCCCTGGTACCAAAAAAAAAGAAAAAACAAACAAAACCCCCAAGCCCCCCAAACTATTGGAATTGAAAATGAATGGAACATTTATATAATCTAAGGGAAAAACATAAAATTTATAAAATTTTTACACATGGTTTGAAATCACCTAAACATTGGCTAAATCAAACTATTAAAACAAACAAACATGTATGGTAAACATATCTAAGTGAGGATGAAATAAGAGTTGTTGATGGTGAAGTGAAGATTCTTGTAACACATTTGACAAAGTGTGAATGAACTCCTGTGCAAAAGATGCTCCTAAAAATAGAAATGAATACTGTGATATAAAAATACAAATCCATAAATAAGAAGATGTAATGAAAATGTGAAAAATGTTAAGATTTCAATGGTTATCACAGAAATTCAGATTGGTAAAATATAAAGACTATCCCCATGAAGTCAGTGTTTGAGAAGAATTATTCATTAACTCTCTGGGATTGTCAACAGTTATAGATTGACAGTAGTGGCATCATGGTCAAAATGTACACACTCTAATCTACCATAAGTGAGGATTTATCCTGACAAATAGGCAAATACACAAACATTCATTATAGTGTTACATAAACAGGTGTCCATGTGTTCTCAGCCTACTTGACAGGGCATGTAGGTAAGGATAGTTTTAAGAAAGCCTATTTCCAGGGGATGGGGGGCAGGGATAGGAATGGGAAAGACAATAGAATGAATCAGACATAATGTTAATATATTCATATATGAATACAAGACCAGTGTAATTCTATATCATATATAACCACAAGAATGGGAAGTTATACTCCATTGTATATATGTCAAATACATTCTACTGTCATATATAACTAAAAAGAAAAAATAAACAAAATAGAATAAAAAATGAGCCAATTTCCAGCTTTCCCACTTCTTTTTCCAACACCCCTTTCACAATTATTCCTTTTCCACTTCACAAAAGAAAGGCATAAATCTCCTAACTATCCAAATCTTACTGTGGTGCATTTCCCAGAGGTGAAAAAAACTTGGCCTCTTATATGGAGTATATATACATAGACTTTTTCAAGACAGGAGTCTGAGAATGTCTCTTAAAAGATGCACTGTTCACTCTGTTACTACAGCAAACTGAAACTTAACTCTGAACCTGTGTACTGTGTTATTCAGTGTTTTTTCATAGTACTTTACAGCCTTTTCATAGTAACATTGTGAGGAGGAAAGGAGGCAAACAAAATGCTGATATAGCTATAGTAAATGTGAATGCTTCTAATAAAAACACCAATTTTCAGCTTTTATAAAATTACATTGATAGCGGGTGAACTGGGTCTCTGTGCAGTGAAACTGAAAGATCTATAAGATGTGTTCTTGTAGAAAAAGCAGAAAATAAGTCTTATTTATATGGAAAATTAAAAAAAAATTACATTGATACTGGATGACCAATACAAATAATTTTTGATGACATATCCCTATATAATTTTTGGTCATATAATTAAGAAGGAATTAAATAATTGGATGTCATTGTTAATTAAAATACAGCTTCCATTTCCAAACTCTTAAAGTAATTTATTATTTTAATTTATTACTATAAAGCCTAATGAACTTTCACAATTTATACAAACAAAAAAGTTTAGGATTAGAAATGATAAAAAACTACTTTCACTCACGCAATAAGTAGCACTGATCTAAAGATACATGAATGCATGGGGAAATATTTCATAAATACCTCATTTAATGAAAGTAATTTTCATCAGTAAGTAAACATAAAATGTAAATTTTAATCAAAATATGTAACATTTGTTACATGATCAATGATATAGCCTGAAATTGTAAAAACTCAATGTAGAAATTTTTACACTTTAAGATTTAACAAAAAGCTTTAAAATCCAATTTATATAAATGTTTTTATTATAGATTAAGTATGAGATTAATCAATAGGAACAATTAAATACATAATGATATATTTGTAGACTGGAATATTAAGAAAAGGTATCAAAGAATGATCTATATTCACTGACAATGAGTTCTTCCCATGTTATTTGTAAAACTATTTCTATTTTAAATTTATTATCATAAGGAGGAATGCTTTTTTATTATTTTTTTTTAATGGGTAGGCTTTAAAATTCTGCTCAATGATAAAAGCCGTTTATACATCAATATGAGAAAAGATATTTACCAATGTCTTGCAGCATTTACAATTTTTAAGATTTCACAGCATGGGATTAAAAGGGAATACATGAAAAGACAGAAGTACTGATTTTCTGTTCATTTTTGTTTTAAAAAAGGATGCAGGAAGATGATTCAGAAATGAAAAACTTAATTTTCTGAGATTCTCATACTAAATTGTTATATGCAAATCAGTTATTAGGAATAAAAATCAATTATGACTGGTACTGCATGCAAACTTCATATACTCTGCTTTCTTTCTTTTCTTTTTTGGTATCAGGGATTGAACCCTGGGCTGCTCAACGACCGAGCATCTCCAGCCCTTTTTTAATATTTTATTTAGAGACAGGGTCTTGCAGAACTGCTTTGAACTCTCAATCCTCCTGCCTCAGCCTCCCAAGATGCTGGGATTACAAGTGTGCCCCACTGTGCCTGGCCCCACATACTCTTAAAAAATTTCCAGTGTGAGCTGGGTGTGGTGTTGCATAATTCAAAGTTAGCCTCAGGAACTTAACAAGACCCTATCTTGAAATAAAAAATAAAAAGGGTAAATATGTAGCTCAGTGGTAAAGTACCCCGGGTTCACTTCCCAGTATCAAAACCAAAACAAAACAAAAAACCAAACCAAAACAACAACAACAAACATAAAAAACCCCACAAACAAAAACAACTCCACAGAAATCCCAGGGCTTATTTGCCCTATAGGTTTAAAAGACAAGTTGTGGCAGAATGTAGACGGTTAAAGACAACAACAAATAATTTGCTGACTATAATTTACTGACTGTTGAAATAGATCTGAGGCTCTGTTAGGTATTTTATCTAAATGAAGTTAATCCTCACCATGGTCCTGTGGGGTGTTAGCCCCAACTAACTGATCAGGAAACTGAGGCACAGGGAGCTTGGAGAACCAGACAGATGTCACACAACTAGTAAATAGTTGGGCTAGATTTTAACTCAAATGCCTGACTCTCAAATTTATGTTTTTCACTGCTGCCCCATTTGGGCCTGAATATTTAAGGTATTGTGCTAGGTGTCTGCATGTGGCAGAGAGAAGTAATATCAAACAGCAAGGAAATTTCCAGAACATTCTATCCATTATTATTTTATTAGGGAGTTAATAATTCTATAAATAGCCTAATGGAAAGGACAGGAGCCTGGTACCAGGAGAAGAAAGAACTTGATGGGGTGCTTGGTATTGGTGGGTACTTTAATCTTCTTAGCACCCTGTGAGATAGATGGTGCCAATTTGATAAGACATCTGGAGCTCAGAGAAACTAATTTTTTAAAAAATATTTATTGGGGCTGGGATTGTGGCTCAGCAATAAAGCGCTTGCCTAGCATGGGTGGGACCCCGGTTCGATTCTCATCACCACATAAAAAAATAAAGGCATTGTGTTATGTCCATCTACAAAAAAAAAAAAAAAAAAGATTTTCTCTCTCTCCTTTAAAAAAATATTTATTATTTAGTTATTGTTGGACATAATACCTTTTTATTTTATTTATTTATTTTTATGTGGTGCTGAGGATTGAACCCAGGGCCTTGCTAGGCAAGTACTCTACTGCTAAGCCACAACCCCAGTCCCAGAGAAACTAATTTTTTAACCAAGGTCCACACAGCTAATGTGTGAGAGCAAAAGCTGTCTATACTGAGATATGCTCTTTAGGAAACTACTAGAGTGTCTCAGATATACTTGAACTATGAAAAAGAAGTGCTTTGGGGAAATTAATTCTATTTATAATTGAAACATAGTTCACCTTTGTAACAACATAAATAATTTACAAAAACTTATCCTGAGAAAATACAACAGCATCACAGCTGCCTTATACTTACTCAAAGAGTACAACTTATTGGAAAGAATGCATTTTAACCACCTATAAATTTTTTTTTCTGTAATAAATTTAAGTTGGTAAGTTATTTCAGTAGCTCAAAGATTTATTAATTTAAACCAGAAGAAACCCTAAATTATTGTCAACTGACAATGTCATTTCTATTTCTCTATCATCTGTGTCTCCCCCCAACCATTAAAAATATTATAAAATAGGGGTAAAATTTTACTTTTAAGATGTGTGAAGCTTTTTACGGGGGTGGGGTGGGGTGGGATGGGGCTGGGGATTGAACCCAGGGTACTCTATTACTGAGTTACATTCCCAGTCTTTTTTAGTTTGAGACAGAGTCTCTTTAAGTTGCCCAGGCTAGACTAGGAACTTGTGATCGTTCTGCCTCAGCCTCCCTAGTCATTTGAGATTATAGGCATATGACACAGTGCCCAGCACAAGATGTATATTAGCTTTAGTAGGAATAATGCTGGCACCTGCAGACCTGGTGATACCTCACAAAAATGGTGTCAATGCAATCATCACCATGAACCTTTTCCATGCTTTCACTATATATAGATGCTGTTTCATGTGCTTTTACATAGACTTCTCAATATCCTTACCTGTCAGATATTATGATACCCCCTTTTCACAGATGAGGACACTGAATAAACAGGTTTCTCAACATCACAAAGCTAGGACTCAAACCAGGGAATCTGACTGCAGAACCAATGTTTTTAAACACTGTGCTCTCTAATTCTAGCCAATGTGAACATTTTGACCAAGCAAGGACTGGTATTTTTCCTATGTAAAATGTTTTTGGAAACATCTGCTCAGGGCTAACAATTATAAAAATAACATTCCGTTTGCTTGTTTACACATGGAATCTCCCTGATCCTCAAACTCTCAGAGGATCCATGGGAAAAAAAGTCCCATCAACTGGTTGAGTCTGTTTCCCACACCCTTCCCTCTGGTGGTGTCTTTCCAAGGTCTGCCTGGTTGTGATCCAGCCCATCAGTCTTCTCACCCATCTTTCACGTTTCTGTTGATCAATCAACCTGCCTCACAGTAGGCCCCATTCTCACTTTTCTTCTGCCTATTGGGTTTGGGGGCTGTACCCAAAAGAAAACAAAAACAAAAATTTCTTATTTTTAAGTCTACATATTCCACTGAGAACAATTACATACCTTCTCAGGAATTAGTTGTTTTTATTTTCGCTTAGAACCTCTTACCTGCTTTTCATGTACCAACCCCTTTTTGTGTCTAAGTGAAGATTTCTGATTCCTTTTCTTTGAATGATCTGATTTCATTCTACCAACCAATTTCAACCTCTATTTCTTTTAAATTTTCATTGTGAAGAGATGTGATGCCACTTTAAATGCTTTGTCCAATCATTAAACTGCCACCTACCCAAGTGTGAAACTCACACATCAAAGAAATGTCTAGCTCTGTTTAGATCATTATTTAGACACTTAAATATTTGAATAAGTTAATACTTCTATTAATTCTTGTGTTAATAACTTAAGAGACAACTGAATACTCCTATGTCCAGAGCTTTATGAGGTTGTAATCAAGGTACCTTGCCTTGACAGACTGGGCCAGGGAGACCATGGAAGGAGAGCTCTCTCTGCTGTGGGCTCGGGAACCTGCTTTGGATCTGCAATGGCTGTTCCTCAATAACTGACAATGATGCAAAGGGACAGTTAAGAATCCTCACTCTGTACCTGGCATAGGCATCTCCCTAGTCTAAAAGCAAACACTGCTCCTACCATTAAGATGCAATAGTGTATAAAAGCTGAGCACAGAATACAGTAGTTCTCACTTATCCCAGGGGAATGGGTTCTAAGACCCCCAGTGGATGCCTGAAACTGCAGATAGTACTGAATCCCATGTATACTAATCTTTTCCAATACACACCAATGATAAAGTTTAATTTATAAAGAGATTAACAATTAAATAAAATGATCATGATAATAAAATTATGTGAATGTGGTCCCTCTCAAAAATACCTTATTATACTATTCTTGCAAATCTTGGTTGACCACAGGTAGCTGGAACTACAGTAGAGTGAAACCATAGATAAGGGCAATTATTGTATGTGGGTTGCTTTATATTACATTCACACACAGTAGGTTATACCTACGAATTTTTAAAGTTCAAAAAGTTTTCTTATAAACTATATAATCATTTAAAAAAAAAAAAAACAACGACTACACATGGCCTGTTTGCTTAATTTCCAAAGAGGAACTGATAAAAAGAGATTGATTAAGCTAAGTTACTTAGGGTGTCTGCAGGTCAGGACTCAGGTGTTTACACTGTGTTTTAATTTCATTCTTTCTTACTAAAAAATGCTAAAAATGTTAATCAGTTAAAGTCACTTTGCTTTTGCTCTTCCAACTCAATTTTATCCCTCCCCTTTCAGGAACTAAAAACTATACCTCAGATCCTTGCAGCTCCCCACCCTTTCTTTCCCTTCCAGCATGTTCCATAGGTTAGGGCCCTGGCTTCTACCCACAGCTGAGGTTAGGCAACCTATACTTCCTCTTCAAGCATTTCTTCACTTTACTATAGTCGGGTTTTTTTCTCCTCCACTCCAAAGAAATGTTGCTTTTCAAAATCAATCAGTTCCTCATTGCCAAATCCAATGTTTATGACAAATCCCATGTTTAATTCTATCTATGTCTCAACAGAACTCTGAGCTGCAATTAAGTCAAGCCCTCCTCTGAGAAGCACATTCTCCACATGGTCTCCAGGATCTTTTTCTCTAGTTCCTTCCCTTCCCTCAGTGACCACTTTCTCTCTTTGCCTCCTTCTATTTCCAGTCTCCAAAGCTTTTCTTTTCCATGTGTTTACATGCTAGTGACCTCACTAAGACACAGGGGCTTGAAATACGATGTATACAGTGACAATGCCCACATTTGGTTTTGTAGCCTGAACTTCCTTTCTAAACAGATGCCAGGTTTGTATGTCCAACTGGCTACTTGACATCTCTCCCTGGCTATCCACAGCTATCAACTGACCTCTACTTCTGTCTTAATTCTTTATGCCAAAGACAGTGAATCTAACCTCCATTCCTTCAGTGCTCAGGCTAAAGGCTGCAGTGTTATCTTTGACTCATTTTGTCTCATACCTGACCATCCAATCCATCAATAAATCTTGTTGGTATTCTTCAGTATGTGGAACTTGACCTGTCCTTACTTCTTCCACCTTTTCTAAGTCTAAGCTACCATCTCTCTCCTGAACTACTGTGGTAATGCTCTGGGTTTTTTTGTTTTGTTTTTTCCTTCAAGTGGAACTGGGAATTGGATCCAGGGGTGTTCTAACATACCTCCAGCCTTTTGAGACGAAATCTTGCTAAATTGCAGAGGGTGGCCTTGAACTGGTTATCCTCCTGCCTCAGCCTCCAGAATCACTGGGATTATAGGCATGTGCCAAGGCTGCTCCTCTAGTTGTTTTCACCCTAATCTCAAACTAGCAGCCATAATAAACCTTTTAAAAGGGACTTCAGATAATATCACTCTGTGGCTGAAAAACTCTCCAAGAGCTTTTCATCTCACTTGGAGAAAAAAACTCCAGTCCCTCCACTGCCAAAGGAGCTTCAGATTTCACCTCTTATCAACAACCCTCCATTCCCCTCCCTCACTCCTTTCCTGCAACAGTGCCTATGTGAGGATGGAGGACAAGAAATATTTTTAGCTGCAACTCCAATTTCCTCTTCACTTGTCCTTTTATTTTATTTGATTCTTGGCTTTAATGTTACTTCAGCAGAGGACACTTTCCTATCCAATATTCTCTTTCCCTTTCCTGTTTTATATCTTCTTGGCATCAGTTGCTGTATGATTACTCTTTCTTATTACTTTTTCATTTATCATTATTTTTTATCTTCTCTGTTGATAATGTACAGTAAATGAAAGAAGGGGCTTTGCTTGTTCACTGTGGTATATGGAGCATAGAGTTCAGTGCCCTGCAGTTAAATAGGTGGGGGGCTTAATCAAATCTGTTGAAATAATACATAAGTGAAATAGCTGAAAAGGAAAGAGTGGAGGAGTGTAGGCTATTATTTTCCTTTTCTTCCTTTGGTGCACAGCAAACAATCTCTATTAAGAATACATGGCTGGCCAGATGGTGGCAATTTTAAAGCAGAAATAAAAAACATGGGAGGGGAACAATTAACTGAGCACTGTGTTTCTTACTGGGGTAGAGGGAGAGGTTAAGAATCACCTGGAACATTCAAAAAATACACAGGCCTGTGCTGAATCACTGAAGAATCATACTTAGGAAATGAAAGTGAGGGAAAGCAAGTGTATTTCTGAAAGTTCCCTCAAAGGATTCTGATGTCTGGTCCCTGTTTAACCCACTTAGTTAAAGGAAGAGTCTCAAAAGGCATGTGGTAAAATATGCAGTAAATAAAATAACACACATTTTTTTTTTTAAAACCCACATACCTGACTGGGGACTCAAAAATATTGTTGTTTTTTGTTTCTTTTTGTCTTCATGTAAAAGCACTGCCTAAAAAATGAAATAGACTGGTTTACAAAAGAGAAAGGAAGAATGTCTGAAACAGCCTTAAAAATGAAACCATTTCCAAGGAGAGCTGAAGTTAGGCTTGTGGGTGGCAGAATTTTGCAAGTTAATTGGAAAGACAGACACACATGCAGGAGTACTTCAATAAGGCCCTGCTGTCTGGTGCCCCGCAAACCTCTCCACACAGTGCACACACACGTGGCGCAGAGGCTGGGAGCAAGGAAGGTTAGTTAGCCAGGAGGAAGGAAGGCCCAGAGCTCAGGAAGTGTTCCATGAATAAAAAGCATGGCTTTGAGCTAGGTTTACCTGAACAAATGTACCAGCTGGTCTCAAAGGGCTAGGTGAAGAAGGGGATCCAAACACACAATCTGACTTAGTTATACCTAAAGGAAGAAAGTGGCATTTTTTTTTTTCCTACTTTAAGTTGAAAGCAGTAGGATTTTTTTCCCAAACTTTCACAGAGAGACTTTTCGACTTACAGAAACTCACTCAGTATATTGCATGGACAACATAATAATTCATTTGAAGAAATGAAGAGGGAATAGCATAATTTTTAGATAGGCAGAAGCTGATTATTTTTCATTGCTACCAAAGGAAATCCACCATATCCCTCTCTTCCTATCTCTCCTCTTATCACATGATGACTGCTTAATGTGTAAATATTGCATTCTGAGGAAACCAAGTTTCTAGTTAAGAGCCTGTCCTGAGGTTTGCTAATCCCACTGCCACCACAATGTCCTCTACCTCTATCTGATCTGCTACTGCCCTCTCAGGTTTTGATTTTCTTGTTTTGACAGCTGTGCTAAGTGAACAACTTAAGATCTGCTACTAGAAAGAAGGAATCCATTAAAGTTGGGAGAAATTCATCACTTTGTTGTACTGAAGAGGAGCACAATGATAACCTGCCATGGGGATGTTCATAAACACGGAACTTGAATTTTTATAAAGGGTGGTCTACAAAAACTATTTTGGTTAAAACCATATTCAATCTTTTTAAAAAAAATTTCTATTAGTTACTGATGAACCTTTATTCATTTATTTGTTTATGTGCAGTGCTGAGAATCAAACCCAGTACCTCACACATGCTAGACAAGTGATCTACCACTGAGCCACAATCCCAGCCCCTTAATCTTATCTTTACTATTTATAGTTTTCTCACCCATAAAATGGAGATATTAGCACCACAGAAAATAATGGGGCTATTGTGAAAGTAAAATTAGATTATCCATGTAAAGTACTAAAATAGTGCCTGACCTAGAGTAAATGGTCAATGAATGTGCCCTTATTCTAATTTCTTTTAATTATACTTTCCTCTTATAAAGGAAAATCACATTATTCTGGTGTATGTTCTAAGCTGGGTCAAAGTTCTAAGTTCCTCAGAAGTGGGGCAAATCTAATTTTGGTTATGAGAGCCAGCTGAAGCTGTTATCACACCATATATATTTTAGCCCTATTTTGAAAATAAAGAAAATTTTTGAACACTTTTTTTCTAATAAAACTACTTAAAAAAATAAGAATGGGTGGCCTAAGAATTGTCTCTCTTAAGTAACAAGATATTGCTATATTGTTGAATATCATATAATAAAATGGAAGAGAGACAAAGATGCTCCAAAAACTACAAACACCACAGTAATTTTAAGGAATCTGTAAAGCATTGTTAGCTATTATATGCTGTCTACTAACATATACAATTGAGAATAGCAACTGTCTACGTTACTATTTCTCAGGGTTTCTTTTCTATCCTTATGAAATTGTACCCACTGGCACAGGTCTGTTCTAAGAAACAAAATGAAGAGTGTACAAATCGCCTTGTAAATTAACTTATTTTGTAAATAAGTTGTAAATAACTTATTTTGCACATATAAGATACACTTATTCTTAATAGTCTGTTAAAAAAGTGTCAACAGTGGACACCTTACCCATTTAATAAAAATGGCCAATTTGTATCCAGCAACTCAAAAGGGCAAAATTTGTGAATGAATTTTGTGTGTGTGTGTTTAAGATACAGTCTTGCTATAATACCCAGCTGGCTTTAAACTCCTTGGCTAAAGTGATCCTCCTGCCTCAGTCTTCTGAGTAGCTTGGACTATAGGTATATGCCACCATTGCACCTGGATTAGATTTCTGTATGATTTTGAACTACTGACTGTATCTCTTCCGCATCCTAAGAATAATCATACTCATTTGTCAAAATTACCAAAATGATAAGATCTAAAGATAAATTCCTCTATAATTCCCCTTAGCAAATATAGCCATTGCTAACTGTGTAGTATATTCCCTTCTGTTCCCATTTCTATGCATGTGCTTGTTTATATATGAACAAAAATACAAGTAGCTCACCTATATCCAGACTCTGGGTTCTCAGACAATTTTGGCCACTGCCTTGCCTAGTGCTGGGCACTGCTTTGATTTTAAAAGTGCACATACTGAGTAGAGAAACTGAAGCTGTAGTTTGTTTTCTAGTTATTAAGACTACACTTACAGGTATTGGGGATTAGTACATATTCATTTCACCAATAATCTTAGAAAAGCCTACCAAATGACTTTCATAAGATTCTAAATAAAACAAGGAATCAGAATTTAAGGAAGGGATGACTTCCCTTTTTTGGAAAAAAACAAAACAAAACAAAAAAAACACCTTCCTTTTTTAGGTAAATATATAGGAAAGAAATCTAAAAAGGAGGTCCGCCTTGAGATATTAGTGCCAACACCAAGGTTTGACATGTATTCATACCTGGAGAGCCTTTAAACTGTGGACATTCCTTCTTAATGTGCCCTTCTCTTCCACAAATGAAACAACGTTTTTCCCTTAAGTCTTTGTCATCTTGTCTCTTCCATTTTTCCATGGGTGGCCTGAGAATCTTTTCCCTGCCCAGGTCAACAGCTGCCCTCATTGGCTTGGCTTTCTGAGCTGCACCCTGTGTGGGTTTGTCTTCTTTTGTTGATACCTCTCTTTCTGTGTACTTGTTTTGAATTTCTTTGTCCTCTTTGCTTCTTTTTTCCTTGTTCTCAGGGAATCTTTGGTTCAGGGTATCTTCCTGATCTCGCCGTCGCCTCACTCTGTGGAAGATATTATACTGATAGGAAAAATCTAAACAAAAACCTTACAAAATATCCAGATAATTCCAGGTTTAGGACATAATCAGGAATAGAAGATATCAACAGACTTAAGTCCATCTTCTCTGTTAAGAAGCTACAGTTGTACACCAGTATCCATGGAAGTCTGGTCCCAGGGTTCCCCATGGAAACCGAAAGCCACAGATGCTCAAGACCCTTTTATCAAATGGTGCAGTGCTTGTATGTAATTTACACAAATCCTTTTGTTATATCTCCTATTATACTTTATATCATCTCTAGACTACTTATAATAACATAAATACTATGTAAATGGCTGTTATACTATATTTCACAAGAAATATTAAAAAAACAAGTCTATAAATATCTAATATAAATGTTTTTTTCCATATACTTTTGACCTGCAGTTTTCAAAGGATGTGGAACCCATGGATACAGAAAGCTGACTGTCGTACCTCAGGGCTTATTGGTGTGTGTGTGTGTGTGTGTGTGTGTTTTCCATTTTCAAAAACAAAAAAATATATGGCATATTTCAAAATAACAGAGAGAGGAGATCTTGAATGTCTCACCACACACACACATATATATATATATTTCTTTTCCATTTTCAAGGTTGCTGTAGTGCTGTAAAACCAATTTTTAAAAAAATACTTTTTTGTAGCTAGAGATGGATACAATACCTTTATTTTATTTATTTATCTTTATATGGTGTTGAGGATTGAACCCAGGGCCTCACATGTGCGAGGCAAGTTCTGTACCACTGAGCTGCAACCCCAGCCCCTGTAAAACCAATTTTTTCAGCACTTAGTTCAATGCCTGCTTTGATACTGATGTGGTAACTCAAATTATCCATGGGCTGACTTCTTGAACAGCATATTAACATTCTTTACTAGGTAGTGGAAACTTGGATGTGAAACTTTTTAAGTTCACAAGGGAAAAATGGTTATTTTTTAAATGGTTAAGATTTATCTTTTTAAAATGTCAAAATCATTTCTAGCTTGCCCTTTATGAGCACTGATTTAATAATAAAAAACACTATAAAAGAGCTCCTCAAATTCTAGATTATGACTTATTTTGAATAGCAAAATAAATTTCTAAATAAGAATATTACTTTCTAGTTAAAAAACACCACCAGTACCACCCTAAACCAATAATATGTCCCAAAGAAGGAACCAAAACTGTCTCCCCTGTCCTCCCACAAATATCATGAGGTGAAAGCATGGTGACCTAGCTCAGTAGCTTATCTACTCACAGCAATTATTAAAGTTAAGCCAAGTACAAATGAAGGATCAGATATTCCTGTAAACTGTGAGTGGATATAAATCCCAATATGTTATACCTCAGCTATTGTACATTAGAAATGTAGGTGAGATCCTGATGGAGCTTACTTAACTGTTCATTGAAATGATTCTGAACTTCTTACTGCTATGAAAGGAATGAATGTCTTAGTCTCCTCCTTTCTTTTTCTATCCCAATTGGAGGCTAATTAATGATTAGGACCATGACCAAAACTAAGAAAGATCAGGCCTGAAAGACTGTCATCTCTACAACTGAGTGTTAGCCTTAGTTTTCTGTACTTACAGTCATGTTTTAATCATTTCATTTTCATTTTTTAAAAAAATCTTAAATTTATTAAAATCTGCTGAGTTTCACATAAGTTTATTTTCTCTGCTACAACAGAATCACATTTAAAAAGTGGCACAAAAGAAAAACGAAAACAAAACCACCCTTTCTGAATATTTGCTTACTTTCTTCTCATGGGACAATCTTTCATGAAGTGTCCAATTTTCCCACAAATTCTGCAACATCTATCATTTGGGGCCAGCTCTCCTTCAGTTAGTACATCTGGATCAAAAAAGTATTCCTAGAAGAACATAAATTTATCTAAGTAATGAATTATTAATGTGAAATAAAACACAAAATGATGAATGTGCCTATACAGCCATATGCTTAGGGTTCATTTAAAATGTCTCTATTGGAGAAGGGGGAGAGGGAATAAGGGTACAAAGTTTTAGGCAGACAGGAGAAATAAGTTTTGAGACATGTTGCAAAGCAGGTGATTACAAATAATAATAATGTATGGCAGGGGCTGGGGTTGTGGCTCAGCCATAGAGTGCTTGCCTAACACGTGTGGAGCACTGGGTTATATCCTCAGCACCATATAAGAATAAAAGTATTGTGTCCAACTGAGCTAAAATAAGACAAAAAACAAAATGTATGGCATATTTCAAAATAATTGAGAGAGTAGATCTTAAATGTCTCACCACACACACACACAAAAAAACAGGTAAAGGGATAGACACATTAATTTTGATTTAGCCATTCCATATTGCATATATATATAGATACCACATTTTACCCCATAAATATATATAATTATGATTTTGTCAGTCAAGATATTAATATATTATCATTATTTTTTCATTAGAAAAAGTCTTAATTAAGGAAATGCAGGGGAAAAAAACCTTTATTCCCAACCATCATTTTTCTCTAATTTTTTAAATGTAATTTTGCATTTAAAAAAATATTTATTTTTTAGTTATTGGTGGACACAATATCTTTAATTTTTTTATGTGGTGCGGAGGATCAAACCAGGTGCCTCACGCATGCTAGGCAAGCATTCTATCTCTGAGCCACAACCCCCAGCCCCCTTTGCTTTATTTTTGATGATAAGGGTGGTTCCTCAGAAACCTGGGTGTCAGGCTATATGAGAACAGGTAGTTCTACAGGGAAGGGAGGGTCATTCTTTTAGCCCTGTCAAGGGGATTTATTAGTCATTGCAAGCAGGCTAGAAAATCTAGATTCCCACAAAGGTTAGATGTTCTTAGATGTGAGTACACTGCTTGGATGAGGCTGGCATAGAAAAGGACTAGAAGATGGCAAAGGGGGGAAAATAGAATTTAACAAACTTAAATCCTTTTTCTCTGTTGAGAAGCCACTTCAGGGGTTTAGAGTGGGTTTTACATTCTCATTTTAAAAGCTGCTCTATCTAAGTGCTGGTTTGTGTTATCAAGGAAAAGAAGCATCAGTAAAATTATTAATTTCCCCACTCAAACCGTATTTCTTTCTACTTCTTTCTGTATTTCTCATGACTGGCCTCTAAGCTGGGACTTTAAAAATAAAGTTCCTTAGGAATTTGTTGGTATTACAACCATTTGTCTTGGCCGGATTCACCAGACTTTTGAGTATGTATTACTGGAGTAATGTGTACAAGCTAGAGGCTTAAAATGTTCAAATTAGGTGCTTTAAATTTTTTTTTTTTTAATCTGGCATTTCCAACAGACACTTACCATTTTTGAGGGATAATCCTTTGGTAATCCTTTGACTGGAATTCCAAATACTCTTCTACCATTGATAAAAGCTTTCATTATAAAATTTGTCACTAAGAAGAAAAGAGTAAGAACTCAATTAAATGGCTTACAGGGAAGAGAGATTTCATTAAAATTTACAAATAAAGTAACGTACTTTTCCTTGATAATCCGGCTCCAAGATTATGATTTAGATCAAAGGGATCTAAGGAAAGAAAATTAAAGATAGCAAATAAGATAATCAAATAAGAAAGGCCACAAATAAGAAATGCCACATTTGTTCAAGAAGTGACATTCATATAACAAGGAAATTCAACTTTTTACTTATTAGTAGTAAATGCATTAAAAGATTGCCTCTTAAATGAGCTTAAAATCCATAATATACCTAAGTAATAGATATTCCTCAATATAAGGCAAGTTTGCCCCTACAAGTGTTCATCAGAAAAGAGTGTGTTGCCAGGTACAGTGGTGCACAACAGTAATCCCAGCATCTTGAGAGGATGAGGCAGGAGGATTGAGAGTTCAAAGCAACTTGGCAAGCCTCAGCAACTTGGCAAGGCCCTAAACAACTCAGCAAGACCCTGTCTCAAAAAAGTAAAAAGGGCTGGGGATGTGGCTCAGTGGTAAAGTGTCCCTAGGTTTAATCCCTGGTTTAAGGAAAAGAAAAGATAGTGTTGCAGTATTGTTTTATATTTAAATCTTTTTTAGAATGTCTGATGACCGGTTGCTTACTACTAGAAAAACAGTGTTCGCAGAAGACACATTTACCTGATATTACCTAATGAAGCCAGTTTTGAATGCATATAGCAGTCACAAATATATTTAACATATTTTAGCACTGAATGCTTATGTTAACTAACCAGTCTCTTAAAGATCCCTTTAAAAAATAACTTGCCAAGTAGATCATAAATACTTGTAAGATACAATTAAAATACACAAAGACACATACACCTGCCCAGAGGCATATGAGCGACTACTTGGATCTTAGGAAACAATTTCCAATAAAAACAATTTCCAGTAAAAGCTGCATGTAAAAACTCCCATATCATTTAAAAAAAAAAACTAGTGTAAATAGTTTATTTGCTCATATGGCATGGAAAGACCAAAAAAGTAACATGAATTATTATTATTATTATTTACGGATTACTTTTACAAAACATTTCTAATATTACTAAGAAGCAGACCCATTTATAGACAAACAGAAAAGGACATGCTAACATTACTGTCTATTTGAACATTAATAGGCAATTGAGCTTTGGGAAGTACCTGTAATGGTCTAGCTATTTGTCTTACATGTCATGGTCAATTTGCTATTTTCATCAAAATGAATGTTGACTCAACCAAAAGACAAAATTCTTGGCATGTTCTTTTTAACGTACACGCGGGAATGCTCCAGTAAGTGGCAGTTTAATCTGTATGCTGAAGAGTGAAATGTGGTGACTGATCTATAAAATGTCTTTGTAGTTAAATATATGTATATTAAAAAAATACTACATGTAAAATAATATTTAGATCGTATAGCACAGGATGATGCATTTTTAAGCAATACAGTCCATATCTTCTTAAATGTCTGTGCCTCAAACATCTTAGATAGCTATGTATATGATGTGTTCTGAAATATTGTTAGATGATGCATAAAGTGGCAGCAGTGATGAAAAGGATGCAGATGTTAAAGATGTGTATGAGGTTTGAATGCACTGTTCATGAAATGAAAGTACATATATTATTTCTAAATACAACCACTACTTAATAGATGATCTAAACTGCCATATGCATGCAATCTTTCATAATTTAGACATTATGCATAAATATTTAACATGCCTGAAACAATATTCAAACAAAGAAAGAAAAATGAAAGGACCCTTTTTGAGGGAAACTGTCATTGAGAAAATGTAGGATCACATGTACACTGTATGGACAAAAGGAGTAAAGAGGCACCCTTCTGCTAGCCCATTATGCTTCTAATGGAAATATCTTAGATGTATCATATTGGAATTTAGACTAACAGTTTCCTCTTTACTCAACTTAACCCTATAACAATAACTGCTGTGAGAATATTACCCTCATTGTCAGTCTGGTCATGCTGGTGATATTTATAGTATGTGTGGTATTTTTGTTTGTTTGCTTGGTATAGTAGAATTAGATTATTACAATATTAGCTATTATACAGTTAAAAACATTAGTACTGCTACAATTGAAATTTCTTAATTCTAGAATAAGTGGGTTACATAATAATGGTTATATAATCATGAATATTCTCTCATATACAGGTTAGCCTATTATTTATAACTCATCTGAAAGTAATGTAAAAATTAAAAGCATGATAATAAGGCTTCAAAAATTAAAATAAATGTCAATATTTATGTAATTAATTTTCAAGATCTTTATTGCTATTGATAAAAAGAACTTGATGGCACCCTCACACCCTCAATTAGTAAGGTTTTAAAAGTCCCGCTATTTTATATTCCCTTATGTTTACTACTATCTTATTCTCCAATATATGGTCAACAATGATAAAAAATTTTTCATGGTAAACAAAGTCTTTTACACTTGTGAGAGGTCCATATGAGGTCATGAGAGCAGGAGGACTATACTGCACATCTAGGCAGCAGCTCATAAAGGCCCCAGAACTGTTAGGAGGAAGAACAAAAGTGTTCATAGTTCAAACTCTGTTCTATTCAGTTTGAAGTTTAATTCTACTTGTACCTTCAATAACAATGTATTTTGAAGTCCACTGTTTCTTAAATGTTGTAAGCAGACTTCTTCTCCTGATGCTAATAACATGTTCTTTAAAATCAAATTCCTCTGTGTAGAAACGAAGAAGTCCCAACCACAGTTGCCCAACAGATTCTGTATTTTTTCCATATTCTGGCCAATAGATAGGCTAGAAAAAGAAGGGAACACAGGATATCATGCTCTAGAACAAAGTGTTAATATCTATATTCATTTGCATCTTAGGGAGTAAATTTGGACTTGTTTCTAATTACCTAAGAGTTTAAATACATCAAAATGTAAATATATAACTTAAATGAATTTATTATAATTTCTGCTCTGTGACTTGAAGATAGAAAGAGCTCAGAGTTTTCAGTGACATATCTCGGAACATGTCAGCAGGAAAATTCAGAAATAAATTCTAAGATCCTTGGTGATACCTGAATTATTAGGTGTCTCTATATCTCAATAAAATCTTACCAAATTATTGGTACAGAATCACAGAGGAAATATTTGTTCCCATGTAATAAAGTTACCTAACCATTTGAAATTATCAGGCATTACAGAAATACCAGAATAGTGCCTAGAAACTCACCTGGCTTAATAAATATTTTCTCTTCAAAGAACACATCTGTAATGTTATTTTTCATTATTATCATATAAATAAATGTTACAAGCAATAATATTGTTGTTGACCACCTACATTATAGCACAATATAGCTAACTTTTAGTAAGGATGTAGGAAAATCTTTACTCTTAAAATACGTACCAGTTCATCTATTTGATCAAAAAAATAAATATTCCAGCCATCAACAAATATTTCAGGTTTCTTTTCACCTTTGTATATCTGAAATTAATTTTTAAACTATTAGTATGGATTATAAACTTAGTGCATTGATACAAAAACTTCTAGGAAAATAGTTTAAAATTTAACTACAGAGCCACAGACTTTTAGAGAAGGAAGAGGGCTGAGAGATCACCCAGCTTTATAGAAGAGAAATACAAGTTCTTTAACGAATACCTCTTGAAGAACAGGAATGACTGGCGGATTCCTCTGCTGGAGGAAATATAGCACCATAAGAGTGTATGCATATGATGATAAGCTGCCTCTAGATGCATCACCAATATCACACATCTAAAGTGGAGGAAAATGCAAGACAAAGGAAGATCACTATGTTTTCTACTAAATTTGCAGCCATCCTATAATCACTAAAAATAAGATATTCATTTGGGGAACTAATATAAAAATCACGTTTTTCCCCACCTTTTTTTTTAATTGGTGCATCACAGTTGTATATAATGATGGGAAAAAAAAAATATATATATATAAAACAATTATATTCTCTATATAAAACTAATATAAAAATCACATTTTTCCCCACCTTTTTTTTAAATTGGCACATCACAGTTGTATATAATGAGGGGAATATATATATATATATATATATATATATATATTCATTTATAACAATATACATGTTCACCTGTAACATAATTTGCCCAATATCACTCCCCAGCACTTTCCCCTCCCTCCCTCTCACCCCTCGGTCCTTTTCCTCTATGGATTTCCCTTTGATTTTTGTGAGATCCCACCCTCTACCTTTTCTAAAAATCACACTGTCAAAATCTAAAATATCCCAATGAAATGAACCAACCCAATTCAAACCAAACTGAACCCAATGAAGCAGTGAACTATTAACCAGAAGCAAGATCAGATTATTATGTAAAATTTAAGACAACAAAAATTTAGTTGCCTGTATAGGGCTTCCCAAAGTTACAGGAAGCATCTGACATGGTTATTTTTCATTAAAAAATACAGATTTTGTTTTCAACAAGATTTGAAGATGCAATGCAATTTCCTGACAAATCACAACAAGAAGCTTACTCACCTTTGTAAATACTTTCATGGTATAGCACAGATATTTCACTCTGGGATCAATGGTTGAGTAAGCAGATAAAAGCCTTGTGTTATGAAGGGCCTGTTAAAAGGGAAATTACACTATAAGGCTATCAATTAGATGAAAAAATATTTTAAGCTGAAATATTCTGGAAATGGTCACTTGCAATTAATTTTAGGAAGAACATATTGAGATTGAGATTACCTTTTCTTTTCAAAGACACACTTTGTTAATTTACTAGATAAAAACAAAGAATTGTAGTAACATGTTCTCATGACTTCCATTATGTTAATATGTCCTTACTTTGAAGTTCTAGAAAATAAGGAGCTATTAAAATAAACAATTAGTTTCCTTTAAGTAAATATAAAGTTTCTCTTTGCTCCATGGCATTATTTCAATTAAATTATCTCAGGGACCAGAAAAATTTTGTAAAATCCTGAAGCAAGACTGACACCATGGTTACATAGTTCTCTCCAAAAACACCACCACCACAAAATTACCACAAAATTCAAGCCAAACAAAAAAGCTTGCCACTCTGATCTCATTTTAAGTGAAGAGAATAGTAATATGTGTGTGTGTGTGTGTGTGTGTATATATATGTATATATATATATACACATATATAATACATAATAATAATTATACATATATAATTTTTTTATTTTTATTTTTTCCCCCAACTGTTGAATAGCATACTTTGTTTTTAAAAATTTTTGTGGCACTGGGGATGGAAGCCAGGGTCTCATGCATACTGGCAAGTGCTCTATCATTGACCTACTTCTCCAGCTCAAGTAAATATTCATATTAACTAAATTCTCTATCCCTATCCTCAGAACATCATCAAGCACATAGCAAGTACTCATAAAAATCTCTCCAAAGAATAAGAAACATGAAATAAATGGCTCATTTAACTTGAGGTTTTTAAAAAGGGGCAGTTATTCTCTTTAATCTTTTTAAAGAAAAAGCCCTGAAAAAATCTTACCAATGTGTTATACAAACTGATATCTACTTCCAGACCACTTCTTGAATGGAAGAACTTCACAATTGGCACCTTTGCTGTTGTAATAGGTAAGATGTTTCTCAGACCTAGATTGGGAAATAAGATAGTATGATTAAATACAGTAGCTGGGAATAAAAAATGGTTTGTAAGCTAATATTTCAACATAAACATAAATGATGTAACATAACTTAGGCTTGTTTCACTGTATTGAACTAGAACTTAATGGACCTTTTGTGTGTGTGTGCGCGCACGCGTGTATGCATGCATGTATGTGAGATTATTAGTTTGATAAACACCAAAACAGAGGAAACAACTACAGTATCTGCAGTACGTGTTTTGTCTATTCTCTTCATGACTGTATCTAATTTGGAAGAAACCTTATGGGCAATCACCTGAATCCTTTGAAACAAGCTACTCGTCATGGAGCTAGAAGTTATGAAGGTAATAGGAAGCAATCAATTTTAGTAAGAGAAGGAAATTACCTGATCTAGCCTTTGAAGGAAAAGAATGTGCAAACGATAGTGTGTAGGTTGAGGGGATTTACCAGGCAAGAAAAACTATACTCAGAAAGGGTAGACGTCTGAAACAGAATGGCTCGAGATCTTACAAGGAATTATGCAGGCAGTAGAATGAATTGAGGTAAAGGAACATGAATAAAGAGAGATGAGGAAGAAATTGGGAAGAACCCAGAGCCCTATATACCATGTTAAGAATGATATTTAGAGATAAAGAGAAGTCAACAAACTGGTGTGAGGAAAAATCACTGACAATCTTAAACAATGCCTCAGCAATGGATGCACTGGAGACAATGGAATGCAAGACAGCCACTTAAAAACATCTGGGCCTGAACTATCAAGGTACAATGGAAATACAGAGAGAAAACAAGTCATGCTTGAGTCTCTATGACAGGATGGGGAGGAGAAATGTTAAGGAGAAGGGCTGTTAACAGTAAGAATTACTATTTTCTGAGTACAAAATGTGTTACCAGGGGCATGCAAAGAGTCTTTCATAAACTTTACTTAGATTGAGCACCATCATCTTACGGATGAGGAAACAGAGACCCACAGAAATCCACTTAGGAACATACAATTGGTAAATGGTGAACCTAGGATTCAAACGAGGCACAAATGATTCCAAACCTCTCCTGAATAGACTACGTCAGACTAATAATCACTTCACCCATTTTGGTGATTCTAAAGATACCAATGTTGAAAATCTAGAAAGAGGATTCAGAAGGAAGGGCAGGAAGCAGTGGTGGAACCAATAGAAGGAAGGAAGTAAACAGAAAAATGAGTCTATTCTGATATGTAGGAGTATGAATTTCCTGAGAGTGCTAAGTGGTGATGTTTAAAGGGCAGATATACAGTTATCACATTACAGAACTTAGGTAAAGGGGCTGGGGTTTTGTGATGCTGGGGATTGCGGCTTAGCGGCAGAGCACTTGCCTAGCACATGTGACGCCCTGGGTTTGATTCTCAGCACCACATAAAATAAATAAATAAAATAAAGCAATTGTGTCCAACTACAACTAAAAAAAAAAAAAATTAAAAAAAAAAAAGAACTCAGGTAAAAAGCATGTAAATGGTAAAAGTAATTTCAGGATGAAAAGTCTGTGTAAGGGGCTGAGGTTGTAGTTCAGTGGTAGAGCTTGCCTAGCATGTGTGAGGCCCTGGGTTCGATCCCCAGCACCACATAAAATTAAATAAACAAAATAAAGGTATTGTGTCCATCTACAACTAAAAATATTAAAAGAAAGAAAGATAGATCTGTGTGGGAAACTAACTTATATTAACGGGGAAGAGAAGTAAGGAAGCTTGGATTTACTGAATACTCAGAATATACGGTGCTGTACAGACGAGGAACTGGGTGTTTACAATGAGGCTGAGTGAGGTATTGGGATCACACAGCCTGAAAATGGGAAACCAGGATTTAAAGCCGGGTGGTGGGGGAGGGGCTGCTAACAAGGCTGTGGGATCAATTGGGATAAATCCCCAGTACCACAAAAAGAAAAAAAAAAGAGTACCTGCTTTAGATGCAGAAGGCCCTGAGTTTAATCCCCAGCATCACAAAACAAAAAATTTTAAAAACAGAAACAAAAAAAACCCAAAGAGCCAGGCCCAGGTACTTGGGAGGCCAAGGAAGGAGGATGGCAAGTTGTAAACCAGCTGTAGCAACTTAGTGAGAACATTTCTCAAAATAAAAAATGAGATTATGTACCTCATTTGAATCAAATGTATAATATGTCAAGATCATTGTAATGTTTTGAGCAACTAATAAAAAAATTAAAAAAAAAATAAATAAAAAATGAAAAGGGCTGAGAATATAGCTCAGTGGTAGACTTGCCCTTTAATTCAATTCCCTTTAATACAAAAACAAAACACCCCTCAGAAGAGTCTGATTTCAGAATATCTACCAAATACTTTTCTTTATCACCTCTAAATTAGATAAACCATTTTCTCCAACTCCTTCCCATTCAGGAATTAGACACCATTGGACACTATAATACATAGAACCTTGTCCTAGCATTTATTCATAGTAAATCAAACTGGTTCTATTTTATCAACCCCAAAGCTCCCATGTTCAGTCTTTTATTTTCTACCCACTGAAATTAAGGTTTAGTCCTCAACTTCTTTCAAACAATTCCTTACAATTTTGCTTAATTCTTGGTATCACTCTTGGACTCTCAGGTTTACACAGCATTGATAGATGCCCCACTAGCAAAAGAATATGTTAATGGCATTTTAGCTCTGCAAACAATTTAAAAATCCATATATTTTACAGTTGTAAATGATTTCTCACTTTTCTTAATTTATTGATAAAACAGACCAAGCAAAGTGAACCCTGGCTCAAGGTTATAATAGCTTGATGAACAGAACAGCTGTGAATGCAACTGCCTAGGCCAAGATGCTCTTCACTACACTTATGAGGTTTTAATAATTTCTATACTTTGATTTATATGATATCAATAAGTAAAATGATTTCCAAAATTTCCTGTCTGGTATATACTTTGTCTTGGGGGAAACACACACACACACACACATACACACAGACACAAAATTCAGCTAGGGAACAATATGCACACAAATTGTCACCAACTCCTCAGTCTTTCATACTTAATCATGATATTTTTTAAGGACACTAGTACTGTAAGTATTTTATAAAATGAGTCACTATATTGCTTTGTAGGCATTAATATATTATAAGTACATGGGGCTGAGGTTATGGCTCAGTGATAGAGTGCTTGTCTAGCACACGTGAGGCACTAGGTTCACACCTCAGCACCACATAAAAATGAAATAAAGATATTGTGTCCACCTACAACTAAAAAATAATAAAAATAAATTCTAAGTACACGAAACACTAAAAAAGTTATAGTATTTTTAGAAACAAATATTTAGAGGTACCTGAATGTTTTCTAAGGACTCTTGCCAATTCTTCAATAGTTCTTACACAGTCCAACCCCTGCAACAAAGATGACACAAAAATTAATCAAAATTGGAAGACAGGTTACTATACTGTTTATAGTATCCACTGTCTTCAGATATAATGAAACTCATTATATGTTTTTCACTTTTAGTTGAGAATCAGTCAGTATCCATAGGAAATATTCTAAATATGCAAAAACTGCCACACATCCTATGTTCTAATTGCTTTTGAAGGTGCAAAAAAGGTTAAAATCAGTCAGGAAGCCATGGACTGAGAGCTTCTTGAAACGTCTCTGAACCATGGATGAGGACTTTCATTTTTTTGCTATGTAATTACCTCTCTCAGAAGTACCCTATGTGCCAGAGTATATAAGAAGGGGCTTCTATGCCTCATCTTATTAATTACAGGTAAAATCTTAATTATAGTTTAAGAGTTGATGACTTGCTGTGGATAGTGATTAAGCTCACATTATTTCCCCACTGGAAGAGCCAAAATTATAATGCAGAAAATTAAGGTAATATAGCAAATAAGAATGATATTTCTAATAATTCATACTTAAAAACACATTCACAGTCCCTATCAATGTAAGCCCTTTTGATGACTGTACACATTCCAGAACATATTTGGAATTTCACTTTAGAAATGCCTTCAAAATTAGTTTATATACTAGGTTAAAAAAAATTAATCTCGGGCTGGGGATGTGGCTCAAGCGGTAGCGCGCTCGCCTGGCATGCGCGGGGTGCTGGGTTCAATCCTCAGCACCACATACAAATAAACTAAAGATGTTGTGTCCACCGAAAACTAAAAAAAAATAAATATTAATAAATTCTCTCTCTTAAAAAAAAATTAATTAATTAATTAATCTTGAGGTTGTATAATAGGGTTGTGCCATACGGAAGACCTAATCTTGCTTATTCATTTTATTCACCAAATTCTGGGCAGATCATTTTTGTCCATTTTTCCAAATCTGTTATATCTTCAAGGCAAAGAAAGCACTTGAGAACAGTAGCAGCACTCTTCTGGATATAGAGCCTTTGGACTACTGTTACAAATTTAAAAAATAGGGACATGGGGTGTAGGTAAGAGGTAAGAGCCCTTATTTAGCATGTTCAAGTCCCTCAGCACCACTAATCAAAAATAAAAATAATAAAAACAGAAATAAACAAAACAAACAAACAAAAACGAATAGGAACTCAGCACATCTCAGAATTTATATAATTTTTATATAAGTGCCTTCCTGTATACATCAGGGGCTGACAAATTTGTTCTGCTTTGCGAGCCACATAAGCATGTGTTATAAGTACTAAACTCCCAGTCATGTAGAGAATCAGACATACACAAAACATAGGGCTGGGGGTTATGGCTCAACGGTAGAGAGCTTACTTAGCATGCGTGAGGCACTGAGCCACTGGGTTCGATTCCCAGCACCACACACACACACACACACAAACCAACTAAATAGACAATACATAAATGAATGGGTGTGGCTCTGTTCTAATACAACTTTATTTACAAAAACAGGCTGTGAGCTGAATTCAGCCCATAGGCCAAAATTTGCTATCTCCTGACATATAAAAACCAAGCTGATATGCACTATGATCTCCTAAAGCAAGAGACAGAAGTTATTATTTCCATTTTATAGCTATCGACCAAAGACCACATGTTTAGGTACTGAAAAAACCAAGTTGTCTCAAATCCAGGTCTTTGTACTATAAAGGTAGCACTCATCATTTATACCACACTGCCTGCCTGATTTAAAACAAAAACAAAATAAAAACCTTATAGATAACGTATGGATATGCATATCCAGGTCAGTCTAGTAGCCAGGCTAATGGAACACCAGGAAAGCTGGTTTGGCTTTGCAGAATTCCCAGTGGTCACTTTCAAATCTACTTCATACTAAAAGTTGAATGTACAAGGCAATCTATTCTTCATATTCACCTCTAAGCTTAATGTATTTGGCTAGAGGGTGTGCCAAATGGCACACTCCATATGGCATGCCTTGATAAATTTGGAAAGTACCAAGCTGTACCATCAGTCAAGATAGTTCAAATCACACTGCCAGAGCAAATGCAAGTTTTATGTGGTCACTGTACCTCAGCAGTTTCATGTCCGTTAATTGTCATGCAGACGTCAAGGTCACTCTGCTTAAAACCAAATCCATTTTTGGAGGAGCCAAACAAGCTCAATTTAGTTCCTGTTAGGGATATATGAAAAGTAATAACTAATTACCTGAGTACATTTAATATTTTGACCAAAATGACCCTCTCATGAATCAAATATACCCAGGTGTTAACTATCCTATCTCATAATAATTTTTTTATTAACTATTTATTTATTTTTTCCAAGTTTACTTTAATATACAAGCTGTATATATCATGAAAGATTACTAGGTGACATTTCAAACAAAATGGAGATCATTTCAACACATTTAATAATGTATCACTCCTTTCTAAATAAATGCATATTTTAGAGGTGTGAACTCTGATTACAAATGTAATATTAAGTGAAATTCACTTGTGGTATCTATTAGAATAAATTCTGCACTGTACTTTCTTTTCTGTTCGTAAACCAGGATTTGGTGCACCAAAGACCATCCTAGGTATATCACAAAGCAACTGAAACTCCGAACCCACAATCACTGCAAGATGTTATTCTCAAAATTAGTATGCTCGTAATACATGTACTCTTTTGAAAGGAAGGTCACATTACCTTTTTTAAGGATTAAAAAATATATATCATTTACCTGGAAAGTCCTGTTTTATGAAACTTTCTAAGTTTTGCCGGATATGTTCACGAGCCTGATCTTCTAAAACAGTTGGAGAAAAATCCTCTGTTTAAAATAAATAGACACATTGAGAAAAAGACTGATGACTTTTTTTTGAAAAAGCTGAAAGTAAGACTTCAAAGGTTTAAAGAAAACACCCTAATTTTTGTGCCTTTGCCCAGATAACATTTGTAATGTAAAATAATCTTTTGTTTCTTTAACAGAAGAGTCTATTAGAAAGAACTACTCTTAAAATGAAAACTAATTTAGACAGGCTCTGTACCTGGGTTTTACAGAGACCTCAAAGAGTGAATCCAAAAATTTGTGAGCATGTCCATATTTTTTCCTAAAGAGAACCTAGTTTTCTTTTATAGATTTAAACCACCAAAAAGTTTTTGTTTTCATTTTTAAATCCCTGGCAGCCAGGCATGATGGTGCACACCGTAGTGCCTGTTACTCAGAAAGCTGAGGTGGGAGGATCACTTGAGTCTAGGAATTTGAGAAGGCTTTTGATAATACCTCAAAAGTTTTTAAAAAATTATTTTTCAGCATAGATGGACACCTCAAGATGTAGCAATATGAAGCATTAAGTTCTCCATTCTAAGCAGTAAAATGTCTCTATTGCAAAATTTTCTCATTGTAGGACTTGAAACCTCTCTATACCAATGCTCCCCCAAACTCTACTCTTCCTTAAAGGGCTGTCATGTTGTGTGCACTATGAATTAATGTTAACTAAGAATAATTCTGTGCTCAAATTTTGGAGCTGTTGGATTAAAGATATAAAATCAAGTTTCTTTGCTACAACATTGCTTTTAAACACTGCTTTTATCATGCCTTGCAAATCTCTAAAGAAGATTTACTGCTCCCCAAGGGAGGGGGCAATATGTACAGTTATTCCTTTGTGAGAGAATACTTCTGGTCATGAAAAATGCATCTAGGAAAACATTTCAAGGAATGTAATCTATTAGTTGGAAAAGCTAATATAGTATTTTAATCTTAAGACTTAAAAAGTCTTAAGATTAAGTAGTTCAGTGATAAAGCATGAGTTAAGCACGTGGAAGGCCCTGGGTTCAATCTGCAGCACAAATAAAACAGAAAAAACAAACAACTTAAAAAGATATTCCTTCCTTCTTTCTTTAATGATTACTTATTGTGTGTCCCAAATGGGACCTGCATGTCACACTGAAGCAAGAGGATCTCAAATTCAAAGCCAGCCTCAACAACTTAAGAGTGACCCTTAATTTAGCAAGGGTCTCAATAGAAAAAATAAAAAGGACCAGGAATATGGCTCAGTGGTAAAGCACCCCTGGGTTCAATTTCCAGTAACAACTACAACAACAACAACAACAAGTCAATTTACTTTTCTGACAAATGAAAAGAAATGTGAATAACTTACTGTAACACTGGAAACAAACTTGATCTAAGATATTTGAAAACTTGGGTGTTAGTGGTGGCAAAGGTTCCAGCTGGATTCTTTTGAAGTCTTCAGGACAGTCCTTCTTTAGATGACCCTCTCGTTTGCACAAGCTGCACACAACTGTGGGAGACTGTAGGAATATGGCAAAGCAAAATAACACTGAAAACTTTATTTGCCAAATAATGGGATTTAGAATTTTTTTTTTTTTTTTTTGGCTTGCAGATTGAACCTAGGAGCACTTAACCACTGAGTAACATCCCCGGCCCTTTTTACTTTTCATTTTGAGACATAGTCTCGTTAAGCTGGTTAGGTCCTTGCTAAGTTGCTGAGGCTGGCTTTGAACTTACGATCCCTCCTGCCTCAGCCCCTTGAGTGGCTGAGATTACATGCCTGGATCTTTTTTATTTTTGAAGTACAAAGCCTACTCTTCACTTTCCAAAGAAATGAAGCCATTAAAAGATCTGAGAGAGAAGCATCCTTATGATGTCATCAGGAGAAAAGGATAGTTACTATCAGCTTTCCATTCCTCCTACGCAGATTCCTACAAATCTGATTGGAAGGAATGTAAAGTGGAAGGAAGTGAATCAAGTGGCTGTATTAGGACAAAGGCAAAACTTCTTAACCACACCCAAAACATGGAGAATTATGTTCTTGTGTATGAAAATTGAAATTACATGTATTAAAATTGTTTAAAGTCTCCTGGTGTTTAATTGTTTAAAGTCTCCTGATTACCTTGCCTTTGGTGAAGATAAGTTTACTAAATTCATAGAAGAAATCAGACTGGTCCACTGGTGAATTTTCCTCACATATATTTTCTTCTTTAAGATTTATTTTATTAAGTTCCGTAAGTAGGGCGCCATCTACATTTTTTTCACATTCTTTCAAGTCTTCATATTTAGCCGGCTGAACTAATTCATCATCCTCTTCAGAAAGAGCATCTTCATCACCTGATCCAGTATAGGTATTGTCCAGCTCATCTTCATTAGCAATGCCATCCTCATCTTCCCTTTGGTTAATGGTGAGCCTGGGTTCTTCCTCCTCCTCTTCATCTTCCTCCTCTTCTTCATCAAAGTGAATGATTTCAGATGTTTGACACTGGACTAAAGGGACAAAGTGGTTTAAAGAGTCTTCTAGCTCATCAGTACCTTCTACACTTTCTTCATCAAGATCAATCTTGTCATCAAAAGTAGCAAATCCATCACACACTTTGGCTGTAGGATTTTGGAGGCCTTCTAAATTCAAAATGCTATCTGTCTCATAATTACATGGGCTGCTGCCAATTGTAAGTTCTCCACACTCATTACTGCTTATACTGGGGTCATCAGCAGTCAAAGGATGCTTTCCCTTCTTTCTGATTTTCTCTTTCTCATCTTTACTTCCTGTTTCTTGATGGTGTACTTTAATATCCTCATAATTATCACAATTGACTTCTGCCTGGATACAGCCAGAGTTTCCTAAATGTGTGCATTTCCTGATGTGTACATTTCCAATTTCCTCAGCTGGTGGGCTTCCACAGCTTTCAGCAGTCTCTTTAAGAGAAAGTGGCTGTGCCTTGCAAGCATTTTCAGTTGAAATGGTAGTAGCACCAGGGCCTTGAGCCAAAACTGAATTGTTGAGCTTATCGTCTTTTGTTTGCACATCTGGATCATGATTTATTACTTCTTTAAAATGTTCTGAAATACACGTAACTGTGCTCAGAGGCTTTGGAAGGCTGGATTTTGCAAGTTTGTGTGGAAGAGCAAAATATTTATATGTCGTTCTTAAACAGTGAAGTATATATTCAAACACAGGTTGATTATTTAGGGTCCTTGCCACATTTCTTTTAACAGAGTAGGGATCTGTAACAATAACAATGAAAAAACAAATATACCACTTAATATATTTCTATTTTGTGCTCTAAAAATTAGCCCGTTGCAAATAAAAATAGATAACAAATAAACAACAGTGAAGTTTATATCTTATATGCTTAAAAAAAGAAAAAATGCAGGTAGAGAATAAGAAGATACAGTATAAGAACAAAAAGCAATGTTTTCTGAAACATCTGTTCTGCTAAGAGAACCCATCCTGTACAGAACCAGTACCCCTTCCCTATTCTGCCGTGACTGCGGTGGTAGGAAAGATGTCATTCGTGTGTTTATCGTGCCCTCAGGAAGTCAGGTCTTCCCTATAGGCTTTGCTGCTGAGTGCTCTGCCTCCCCACTCAGCCAAGCCCTGTGGTTTGTCGAGCTTACCTCCACTCTTCTGCCCTGGGAAGCCCCATCACTGAATTGGCTGGACTGAATTTCAGGGGCGAGAGGGAGGCACCAGGAGGAGACACCACTTCTCTCAATCTTTTCTCCTCCCCTAGAACTCCAGCAGGTTAGGCAATTGGCCAGAAGAGCTGAGCCAGAGAAACTGCAGGGGAGGGTTTAAAAATGTGAGATCCCCATGACTGCACACAGAATTTATGCAAATTGCAAAAAACCCTCTTATGCAACATAAAGCTTGAAAAAAAAATCAAGCAAAAATAAGAGAATTCCATTTAGGAAATTCTGTAAATTATTAAAGGAGGAGAATTAAGATTTCTAGAGGGGTTTCAACCTCCTGACTTTGCAAAGCTGAGAAGAGATAGTCCATTTAATGACATCTACAGGGCACATCAGTGTGTCTTTCATATAGTGACTTCAGTTAAAGAAGCCTTCACTAAAAATGTGTTTTTAATGAGTAAGTTACTGATTACTACTTTAAAAAATAATTATCTGTTCCCTTTACTGGAGAGTTATCCAACTAAGAATGTCAGTCTTCACAAGAAAAAGTATTTTTCTCATCTCTGCAAAACTAAACAATATTAACAATAACCCATGAAAGGACTGAATTTAAAAATCCAGAAGTGAGAACAGCAGGAAAGGGAAACTCAGATCACTGGGAAAAAAACATTAAGCATTTAAGTTGTTAAGCAATTCACAAAGAAAGCAAGAACTCAGCTAACCATTATTCAAGTTGCTTAAAAATTAAGATATTTCATTATAGTTCTTCAAAAACTCAGGATAAACCTTTTGATCCTTTTAGATGACTCACTGTAACACATGCAAGATCCTAATTATTTAGTTCACCTTTGAGGTCAGGCCTACCTTACAAGTAGGAGATGAAAAGAGACTGAAATAAAAGCATGCTGTTAGACTGGTACCTTAAAAAAAATAATAAAATAAAAAAAGAATAAACATTTTGAGATACCTTCAATGGCAATGCGCTTTTTGGGCCAATCCTTTGATTCTCGAGATATTGATTCTTTGACACGGATACTGATCACTAAATCAGCCAAATTAAATTCTAAAGCATAGAATCGCAGCAGTTCCACCCAGAGCTGCCCAACTGGTACTGAAGGCTGGTGTTTTGTATCAAATATTAATGATACCTATTAATATCAAAGAGAAATATATTGGTTACTTCGGGTGTTGGCTTAATCTGAAAAATTAAAGATCATTTGAGCATCAAATTAAAAAACCTGGAAAATCTGAGCAAAGATAGAAATTTGACATCTAGACAAATCACTTTGTATGTGGGAAAATAGCAAAACTTCACTGCATCCCTGACATTTGGGTAGGTTAAAATCTAGTCAGTACCATGGAACAGACAGGACCAATTTTATTTAACCAGACAGCACCGAATTTTGAAATTTTAATAACAGGTGGATAGGACCTTGCACAGTTTGCTAATACTCTCAGCATGGACCTTCACCTGTTACTGCTGCTGGAGGGCACCTTTATATGGATACATGGAAATGTATAGTAGCTAAAGACAGAGAAAAAGAAAACCAATACTCTCATTGCCCTGATATGCTACATAAGTACACTAAATCTGCCAGTGGCAATTAAAGTCAAATAACTATAATAGAAATTGATACTAGTTCTACAGTCACTGACTTGACAAGTTCAAATAACATACTTCCTATAATCTTTTGGGAAATACACAGAACTCAGAATAGGGGGGGAAAAAAAGGGCCCAAACAGTGATTCTGCCATTTCATAGCTCTTGATTGCTCTGTAATTTAGTGTTTTCACTCTCAGACTAGCAGTATTGCACAATGGTTAAGTGAACTGGCTTTGGAATTGGAACAACCTTAGTTTGAAATCCAAACTCTGCCAAGTACTAGCCGTGTATGATCCTGGTCAATGTCTATAACCTAAGACTTGGTTTCCTCATCTGACAAATGGGGATAATAGTACCCACCTCATTGGGTTCTTGGGAGGACTGAGTGAGATAGTGTCTGTAAAGTGCTTAGCACAGTGCCTGGCACACAGTGTTCAAAAAATGGTCGCTATCATTATCTGCAGAGTAGGGATGATACCACCTATAACACAGGATAGTTATGAGGATTAAATCAGAAACAAGGGAAAGCATCTGGCAGACTTGGTTGCTTTCTGTATTTTTTCACTCAGGTAGTCTTTAAGTACAAGAAATTCATATATCACTGAAACAATGTCACAACAGTAAGATGCTCTTAAAGGTAATCTAGTGAAGAAGTCCACATGTTAAAAGGAACTGAAGCCCCAAAAGTTTTCGTGACTTGTCAGAAGGTTGCACTGCTTGTAAGTGGCGTGAGAACTTGTTCTGACCCCAATACATTGTTTTTCTCACCACAGCATATGCAACTTCTACAAAGTCTAGAGCTCACTTAATTTCAGATGTGGCAGCATGACTAACCTCTCCAAAGAACATAAAAATATAAAAGAAAAGCATTAAATGGACTTACAGAAATAGCTTTTTCTTCACATTAGTCTTATAATTCACACTGAAAAAATTCTTTCCTTAAGTATACAAATTTGTCTCCAATCACACTTTACTAAATCAGACTTTAAAACAAGTGGTATAGTAGTTTATTCATGGATAAATCTCAACCACAAAGGGTCTTAGAGTAAGATAAAGTCATCTGGTAGGTAGACTTATAAGGCAGAACTGATAGATACTGGAAGTTGTCTGGGTCCCAAATACTAGAATTGAGGACACAAAGGAAACCCCCAGAAATTGAAAGCTTTATTAAATTTCACCTCTCATCCACAGCCTTTTTCAGCTTTACAAAGGATTTTTAAGCATCTCACTGAAATGACTTGAAAACACTTTAACATGGAACTTTAAAATATCTAGATTATCGTCAATAAAATTGTTTAGAAGTAGGGAACATTCCTTTTTTGAATAAAGTAAGAATAGTGTAGGTAACATTTCCTGAGTGCTTACCACATGCTTGGCACTGAGTTAAGCATTCTATAAATCAATGACCCTATGAGAGGGTACTAATATTATCCTCATTTACAGGGAGGAAACTGGGGCATGGAAAAATTAAGTAACTTGCCAAGGACATATAAGTGGGAGAACTGAGAATATTTGTATATCTGGCTCCACAGCCTGTGCTCTTATCCACACTGGAACCCCCAGTAGAAAACAGACAAAAGTGGTGCTGTTCTGGTGCCAGCAAGGCTGGGGTGGCATCTCCTCCTTCCTGCTCCAATGCTTAAGAATTCTAGGAAACACAACCGGAAACTCTATGATTCACCACTATCTCTTCATTTTAGGAACAAGTAAACTACAGACTGGAGGAATGATATGACTTATTTGTATAGAGATGGGATTAGATTTTTGGCATCAGAATTATTTCATGAATATTACTGTCATTGGGATCTAGGACCATTCACCAATTTGGGACAGAATAGTGCGACCTGTATAATCTGTGCACAAATTTTTTTTTTTGTTGGAAACTCTAATGGTAATTCTTTACACATAGATTTTTTTATGCATTTCCAATAGTATGGGACCAGTACATTAAATCATATGCTTATTTACTGTTATTTCAGTCCTTTGAAGTTAACATTCCATAGATTTAAACCTTAAATACAATTTAAGACCTAACTCTTTTGAAGATACACAGGGATTTTTCTTTGAATTCTCAGTATTTTTCCAAGGCCTCTGTACAAAGAATAAACCATATAAATAAATTTAATGATCAATTTTTTAAAATCTTTCCACATTACTTTTAAAAATCTTTTCATAATTTTTAAAAATCTTTCATGTTGATTATTCAATGGACTAAACAGATTAGGAAATGAAATAACCATGAAATACTTAAGACAGTTAAGGAAAAACAGGAAAACTGACTAACTCATAAACACCACAATTGATAACTAAAATAAAAATCAACAGTAAAATTAGAAATAAGAGAACAGACCTGCCCCCTTTTAATTGGCCTTTCTTTTGGTGACTCTTCTTTTGCTGTGTTTGTATCCCCAACATTATCAGTGTATTCCCAGACCACAAAATCTTTCTCAACGTCTTTAAGGTTGAAGTTCGTAAGTTTGTTTAATGAGAATCCTTCAATCTAGGAAAAAGTAGACATCTATTATTATAAGGTAGAAACCATTTTTGTATTGATTTGAGCATTTAATATGTTTGAAGAAATGAAAAAAGTTAATATATTCCAAGTTCACTGAAAATATAAAAGATATTGTTTGTGGAATATTTTTAAGATAAACATAAATTTAAAAATATTTTTAGCTGGGTTCTGTGGTACATGCCTGTAATCCCAGCCATTTAGGGAGGCTGAGGCAGGAGGATTGTAAGCCAGCCTCAGCAACTTAGCAAGGTCCTAGGCAACTTAGTGAGACCTTGTCTCAAAATAAAAATTAAAAAGGGCTGGAGATGTTGCTTAGTGTTTAAGCAACCCTGGATTCAATGTCCAGCACCAAAAAATGAAACAAAACAAAACCCAACAACAACAAAATCTGCAATCAAAGTAAAAAAGAAGATTCTGATGATTCTGATTTGCAAAAGAAATGGCAAATTTTTGCTCTACCACTAACTACACCTTCAACCCTTTATAATTCTTTAGTAAATATTCTGAATTGAGGATGTACTTTGGTGGTAAAGCACTTCCATAGCAAAGCCTTTGGTTCAATCCCCAGCACTGTAAAACAAAACAAAACCAAACCGAAAAGTTACAACAACAAAATTTCTGAGAAGGCAACAGGGCATAGTGACTAAAGCCATGAGTTTTGGAGTAAAACTCAGTGGTCCCAAATCTTGGATCCTCCAGGCACCTACTCTCTTTAGGTCTCAATTTCTAGTAAAATGGGATAGCACTAGAACTTCCTTCATGGGACAGCTCTGATATATATGCCGCATGTAGAAATACTCAATAAATCCAAGAAACTGTCATTATCAGTATTGTAGAGATATAATTATAAAAACTAAATTCTCCTAATTAGAATTTTTCTTTTTTCATAGTACTAGGAATTGAACCCAGGGGATTTCTACCACTGAACGGTATTATCGATCTTTTTGTTTTTCTTTTGAGATACAGTATCCCTAAGTTGCCTAGCCTGGCCTGAACTTGCAATCCACAAGTCTTTGCCTACCTAGTAGGTAGGATTACAGGCATAGGCCATTGTGCCTGGCTGGAAACTATTTCCAATATTTTAAATTCTAGTTAAGCCCAAAGGTTTCAAAATACAGTTTAATGTGGTATTAATGAATGCAAAAGAAAATGGTCTGGGCTCCAAAGTTCTGAGAAATATTAACAGAGTTGAACAGGTCTTTTTTTAATTATATAATGGACTCATTACATAATAAACAGGTTAGTGAACATAATAAATTGTGAGATGAGGTAAGGATAAGGTTTTCCAAATTTATTTCTACCCCAAAGAGTGATCCCTCTGAAACATAAGACATCGTGTCACACTCTTCTGCTCATTGTGGTTTCCTTCTTATTTCAGAGAAAATTCAGTCCTTCCAGGGTCTATGTAATCTGGCTCTTGGCTGTTTCTCAGAACCATAGTCTATCCTTCTGATTTGGAACTAACATCTGCTCTTCCCTCTGCCTGGAATACTCTTCCTGCTATCAGTCAATTATATGGCTCAACTTCCACATCTTATTTAGACTCTGCTCTACTAATTTTTTTTCTAGTATCTTCCTGCTTTTCACTCTTAATTCAATGCCCATTATGATTAACTTCAATTGTATCAAGATCTAATAACAATACAATGGGAAATCTGACTGGGAGTAAAAGATTTGGAGATTATCCTAGCCAAGGTGGAAGAGATCTGAGTACAACTGGGCAGAGAGGCTAAAAACCTCAAGAAAGATAAATCAGAGCACAGGGGCACAATATACTAAATTTCCTGATAAGAGAATTTAGTCTTGTTCATTTTTATATTCTCTTCAAGGCCTGGTACAATGACTAGTGTACATAAGTACTTTAATTGTGAGGACCTTGAAGGAGTTTCTGCAGAAGTGATGTAGGTGAAATATCTGGTAAGAATAATATTAATTCCTTTCCCCCTCATTTGCTTTATTTACTTTTCTTGATTAAGCTTCTGGCAGCAGCCACTAAACCAATGCCTGTATAGTTTATAACCTGCAGATCATTTTGGTTCATTAAGTAGATTTTTTGGTTCATTAAGTAGATTATTTGATCCATAGAGTCAACCCAGTGTTTGATCATCATGTATCTGTTTTTGTCATTAAGTCTTGGGAAAAAAGTTAAATGATACAATCAAAATAAATTCAGAGTTGCTTCAGAGAGTTTCCAGTTTCACTGCAAAGGAAATTATACATTGGCCTTGGAATAAAGTATTCATACTACTCTTAAGGAAGAGAAACAGCTTTTGTCCTACATCCTCACATCACTGACAAATGATTATTTAGAGAGGATCAGTACACATGAAAAGGCAGCTCTTACTCAGTAAGACATTTATGTGCAAAGCCAAATATCCAATTTATTTCCAGGCCCTTTTGGGTCCAACTGTTTTGGTCCCATCCTAAACTCCACTCTCTCTTGGGACAAGATGAAAGGAAAACTTCAAACAGTTTACCAAATTCCTTCTAGGGTGTGGATGACTTTGTTCTCTTGTTCTTTTTGGAAGGAGAGTAATCTGGCGGAGATACCCTCTTGGTAGCCCTGAATCCTTTCTTCTCAGTGTCATAGCTACAAAGAGTTACCATTAGACAACTAAGATATAGAGCATACTTTAATCCCTTGTGTCAGGATAAAGTTTGCAAGTAGTTTATTCTACTTCAGTTTTTTATTACTGAAGCCTGCTAGACAAAGTCTCCACTTAATTCTGTTTATTAAATATAAAGAAAAAAATGTCTAAAATCACACACACACACACACACACACACACACAAATATGCCTACAGATAAGAACTACCACTCTAGAACATACTTTGTGTGTGTGTGTGGGGGGGGGGAGTACTAGGGATTGAACCCAGGGACACTTTACCACTGAGCAAGATCCTTAGCCCTTTTATTTATTTATTTTTTAAATTATGAGAAAGGATTTAAATTGCCCAGGCTGGCCTCCAACTTGTGATTTTCCTGCCTTATCCTCCTGAGTTGCTAGGATTACAGGCATGTGATACCATGGCCAACTGAACATCTTCTTCAAGAGAAGACTGTGTGCTATTAAGTAAGACAAAAAGCAGTGAAAATATTCAATGTGTAAAAGTAAGCTTTTCAGTAAATAAGGCTTTCTATAAAATACCTACACACATAAGAATATACCAAGATAAACATGTAGAGATTAAAAATGGTTCCAGAAGCAATAGCATAATTTTGACCTTTCAGTGGCTTCTTATTAGACTTATTAAACAAATCAACTCAATTGTTTTTTATGGTTTTTTTCTACATTTTTTTATTGGTGCATTATAGTTGTATATAACTGGGATTTGTTGTTATGTATTTGCACACGCATATAATATAACAACGTAATTTGGCTAATGTCATTCTTTAGTATTTCCCCTTCCCACCCCCTGGTCCCTTTCCTCTACTCTGATTTCCCTTTGATTTTCATACGACTTCCTTACCCCCACTTTTCTTTTCCTTTTTCCTCTCTAGCTTCCACACATGAGAGATCACATACAACCCTTGACCTTCTGAGTTTGGTTTATTTTGCTTAATATAATGTTCTCACGTTCCATTCATATCCAGCAAATGACAAATTTTATTTATCCTTATGGTGGAATAAAATGCCATTGTGTATAAATACCACATTTTCTTTATCTATTCATCTGCTGATGGACACTTAGGCTGGTTCAGTAGTTTGGGCAAATATAAATTGTGCTGCTATAGACATGAGTGTGCATGTATTACTATAGTATAATGACTTCAATTCTCTAGGATAAGTACTAAAGAGTGGTATAGCTAGTCACACTGTGGTTCCATTACTAGTCTTTTGAGAAACCTCTAGACAAATTTCCATAGTGGTTCAAATAAACTCAACTTTAATTTTTTTCAGGTCTTGCTAAGTTGTCTAGGGTAGTCTTTAACTCATCATTCTCCTGCCTCAGCCTCCTCAACTTTAATTTATCCAGATTACATTATTATTGTTTTTTAAAAATATTTTTTAGTTGTCAGTGGAGCTTTTTATTTTATTTATTTATATGCGGCACTGAGAATTGAATCTAGTGCCTTACACATGCTAGGCAAGCACTCTACCACTGAGCCACCACTCCAGCCCCTCCAGATTACATTATTAAAGTCTAATTCACCTTAAAGATAAAACCAAAATATTATTGAAGAGTTGACTATAAGCTCTGCATCTTGTATAGTTAGTAATCTTGATGCTTTTATTGTTTTACAGGTCATGGGATATAAAGAGAAGCAAAAAACCAGAAATAGAAAGTAAGCTACACTGGTCATGGTAGTATATGCATGTAGACTCAGTTACTCAGGAAGCTAAGCCAAGAGGGTCATTTGAGCCTAGGATTTTGAGGTTAGCCTAGGCAACATAGCAAAAATTCATATTCATTCATTCATTCATTCATTCATTCATTCATGTATACGTACATGAATTGAAGTCCATTTCAGAGAGACAAATGCTTCATATACTGTCTGAAGATGATATATAAGTTTAAGTATCGAATTAGAGTGCTGTACCCAAAGAATGTGTCAAAAGATAAACTTAACATAGATTCAAAGTCTCTTGTTTGAAATCTTCAGGTCCACAGGTGTTTCAAAAACTAAGATTTATAGGCTAAAAATGTAGTAATACCCCTAGCAAGGTATAGATCGGCATCTTGTAATCATATTAACATTTCAGCAATGAAAGATGTGAATACCAGTAAAACAAACAAATCTATTTTACTTCTGGTTAGCTTTTTAAATTTTGAAATTATGCATAAGGAATTGTAGATCTATAATCAATCAATCGGATATATAAGCAAAAAAGTTTCATACCCATGAGCCTAGATAAACTGGCAGAAGAGGTTCTTTCCTCTGTTGAAGAAAATAAATGGCCATAAGGGCAAACACGTAAGGTGGCAGGCCTCCTTCCTCAGGGCGATCTATACTGCAAAGCTATAAGTGAGAGAAAAGAGAATTTGCATTTTTTTTTTTTTGCATCAATTTGTGATTTAAATAACTTGGCCTAAAACCTGCAACCCATTCCCATATTGTAATGGTTAATTAGAATTGTCAACTTGATTGGATTAAGAGAAACCAGAAGGTGTGTTGATGACAGTGTGTCTAGGAATAACTGGCATGTGGAACAGCCAAATAAAATGGAGACCCTCCCTAAGTGAGGGCAGCACCATACAATAAAATGATGGTTTGGATGAAATAAAAGATGGAAGAACATGACAGCAACAGCAGATACAAGCTTGATTTTTCATGATCGAGTTCTTGACTGCAGCCGTGATTGATGATATGGGGCTCTCACTTTTTCACTCTTCCAAAGTGGATTCTGTCAGTGATTCTCCAGAAGCCTTCAGTCTCAGCTTGGGATAGCACTTGTTCTGGGGCTTCAGCTCCTTGGACTGAGCAGTTGCTGGTTCTTCCAGCTCTCTGCCTGTAGATGACCACTGTGGACTATCTAGCTTTTGGTCGCCTGAGAAATTCTCTTTTTGTAATTATACTTCCTGCTGATTCTGTTCCTCTAGGGAACCCTGACTAATACACATATATTATATGATATATAGTGATTATTCTGAATAAAGCAGCACAATAAAGGGCAGGGGTATAGCTCAGTGGTAAAGCACTTGTCCAGCATGTATAAGGCTCAAGATTTGATCACCAACTCCACAAACAAACCAAAAAACAAAGCAACAACAATCCCTCCCCCCCAGCAAAGTGATACAAATAGACAACTTCCTATTCCTTTGCAGTAACCACATACTGTGGTTTTGAAAGAGTTTCAATTTCAAATATTTAATCTTGTTAACTTACTCATGGAAGGCCCTAAAATACTATTTACTGTTTCATTTTTTTGACATCTACAATAAATCCACTCACTTAGTTAAGACACATGTTAATGAAATACAAATGATCGTTCAGTTCCAACTGATTTTGCTTAGCTTAAGGGTCCTCTCAACTTTTACAGTCCTGCAAATGCATGCTTTGGTCACAAAGGCAATTTGGGGAGAGAATGTTGGCAAACCCATCAGTACTAATTAAAATAACACCTAAAAGAGCATGGCCTACATAGTGATGAAGCAGAAGAGAGTTTTCAAAGAGGAGCATATTGTAATTATTAATTCATCCAGCAAGAGTGGGGTATCCTGTGTTGATCCTGGATCCAAGAAATTGGAACTATCTCTTATCACTGTTATACCTCAATCAGTAAGATTTTTGCTTTTCTTTATATAAGGCACCTTATAGAATATCAATTTTATCATTATGATCTGACCTTATACTATGGGGGAATATTAAGTGCTCTAATGATTATTACAGCATATCAACTGGGAGAATGTATTTAAAACATTGTAGATATAGGCAAGACCAGATATAGTATTTTTCATTTCTTTATGTAATCCTTGGATTTCTTCTTGAAAATGGTTATGAGAATTATTTTCTAAAACTTTACAGTGCCTAAGTATTACCCTGGGAAACTAGTTAAGATTGTAAATTCTTTGACTACATCCTTTGGGATTTGACCCAAATCTGACTTCTAATAAGCATTATAAGTCATTTTGATCTTTTAAGCAATACTGTTGTAATGAAACAGAAACCTTAAATTTTCCTTCTGTATAGTGTTTCTATTCCAATATTCAGATACTTTCTCTTTTGATGTCTATAGGTATTTTTCTAAACATTTAAGGTTAAATGAACCCAGTAAAAATTAAAGCGCAGTTAAGTTCACAGAATACACACATGCATTTAATGAAGTCTAACTTACCTTTGCCCAGTACCTAAATGCAATCACCAAAGGAACCAGCTTTGGTTCTAGTTTTCCGAGTGCAGTTAAGTGCTTTGTTGTCAGACAAGCATTTTCATTTCCTGCACTCACTTTACAAAGAAGACCACTGGTGGGTGTGCCGGTGAAGTTGGGAATGAAAAAGAAAGAGAAAAAGGTGTGTTACATAGGTATCAGTACATTTTTACACCAGTAGCTAATTTACACTGATAATAACTTTTTTAAAAAATGGAAAAAAAAACCCCTAAAACTCCCTACATCTTCATAGGTCATTTAAAAATACTGAATTAAAAAAAAAAAAAAAAAAAAAAAGACACGACAGTTACTTATTGAACAAACTATATTTTCAGAAGAACTCTGTTTTAATATGCTAAAATTATTTTGGGGGGGAACATGCAAATAAGGAAAATATTATGAAATATTTCAAATGGGAGCATGACTTGTCTCATTTTTTCAAATGGTGTTTTTACAAGAGTTAAGGAATCTGTTGGTGAAGAGTCATTATTGCTTATAAGCCACCCATTCATGGTAGTGATAGTTATGTTTCCAGATGGAGGGAGACCTATACAGGGGAGGTCACATTAACAGCTATTCAGCACTGCCACAAATGCTGGTAAAAAGGATGGCAAGTAAAAAGTGATTAAAGCAAGTAACCATTTGATAAGGTTGTTTTTTTACTTAGTTAAAATGGGTCAAATGCTTCCTTATAATTTTTCCCTCTAGGTAATTTTACTCTTTTTAAAATAAGATTTCTTTCCCTCTCTTGCATCAAATGCCAAAGTATAGACAGAATGCTAGTAAGAAACATGAGATAACCATATAAGGTATAGCTTATAACTTCAAAGTTGGAATTAAGATTTAGCAAAGTCCTTGTGCTTTTGGCAAGCTGATACCTAATGATCAGCTTAAAGAAACAGAGACCTTTGCTTTTCTCTGCATACTACCACCGGTACCCTTGCATGGAAATCTGCGTCAACATCAATAAAGGAGTCTGAGGAAAGAAGAAAACACATGTTAAGTAGGTTAATTAAAGCTTTGTTACAAGCAAAATGAGATAAAGTACAAGGACCCAAGTACCATGTGTGGCTTATCTATTCAGCCATTTTGAAAGACAACTACTAAATAAAATTCTGAAGGGATTTGAAAAAAGAAAAAAAATGTTATATTCAAGAATCAAGTAATCACATTAATTTAAAATCATTATTTTATAAAGCTTATGTTTAATTAAAAGTAACTACGCCAGTGGATCACAATATTTAAATATTATGAGGGTAACCTAATTAGAAATATAGACATATGATTTAAAAACAACATTGATACAAAGGCTACTGAAATCTTCAGTGTCAAAATATGTATTGACTAAAATAAAAAAATATTTAAATGCTTTATTCAATCAAAACAAAAAGGACAGGGGATGACTACTTCAAGGGAAAATTAGTGAGGTTATGAAAGCAAAAAAAGTCATAAAGCTCTAAGTTGGATAGTATATTGGAAAAGGCAACGGATAAACTTACATGGGAACAACTATTTATGAATTCATTAATCAGGATTGGGCCACACTTACTGCACCTTTATAAAACATTAATTTGAACCACTGGATACAGTATATTATTCTTTAATTTTACTCTCAAGACTAAATTATGCATATTTTGCATTTCTTCGTCACACTCTAAGACTCATTTAAGCTTTAAAAAATTTTTCTTGTAGTTGTAGATGGACAGAACACCTTTATGTATATTATTTTTATGTACTGCTAAGGATCAAACTCAGTGCCTCACACATGGTAGGAAGTGCTCTGCCACTGAGCTACAGCCCAAGCCCTCATTTAATCTTTATAGTGATGTCATCAGCAAGCTAAAAGCTTTGAGACATAGAACTACTACTAGAATGCTAGCTAGTTAATAAATCATGGCCATTTGCTTTAATTTTTTTGCTTTGGATATTACACTTATCAATAATTTTAAGAGGGAGAGAGGAAGGGAGGGAAAGGAAAGTTACTGGGGAATGAAATTAATCAAATTATGTTATGTGCCTGTACAAATAAGGCGTAATGAATTCCACTATTATGTAGAATTATAATGTAACAAAAAAGCAAAAGAAAAAAAAACTTTAAAAGCATGAGTTTCTATTTTCAGAGTTTGAGTAATAAGTTATATAAAATTTATAGAGAAAAGAAAATATTAAGAGCAAAGTGTACAAAGCATTTGACCTTACCACTGTTCTTTAAACATTCTTGAACAATTAAGAGGACATCTGGCTGAGACATCTAGGAAATAAATGAATGAATACATGAAATAATCCCTAAATAATTTTGCTTCACGATAAAATACACAGTCTAAAGTTCCCAATATTGTTTCCCAAATTAGAAATGAACATTGGTACCAGAATAAAGAACTAATCATTATGCAGTGTCTATGTACGTCAAAGACAGAAAGACAGATGAAAACCAAATGAGGATGAGTGTGGGCAAGAGACCTACTATACATTTAATTTGTGGTTAATTAATTCTTGAGGTAATTAGCTTTTTAGAAAATCTCAAAGTGGTAGCTGGAAGTTGTTACACTACTAATGACATTTCCTCTCACTCTGTAAGACTATTACAACAGATAGCTTACTGGTTCCAACTCTAAATCTTGTTCCACAGTGGAATCAAAACCATTAAAAATCATGAACTGGATTCTTAAAACGTATCAATGACTTTTCACTGACTGTAGATCAAAGTAAAATTCTTACCATGGCCTATGAGATCCTGCATATGGGGCTTCAGCCTACCTTCCATCCTAATCAGAGTTCAGCTTAAATGTTCCCTCTTCAATGAGGCCTCCATGACTGTGGCATCTCTTCACAGTTCCTGTTTTCTGTTATTGAACCCTATTTTTCTGCACAACTCTCATTATAATTAATAATATAAGTAACTACTTATCTCCTTAACTAGATATGTGTTCTGTGAAAGAGAAACTGCATTTGTTTTTTCCTTTAGAATCGAGTATAGTACCTGCCATACAACAGGTATTTAGTGAATATTTGTTAAATGAATGAATGAATGATGTCAGAACAAAATAACTGCTATGGTTAGTAATTTCACTGATCAGAATTTAAGATTAAAAGAAGAGCAAAATCCACTGGTTAGCTGACTAAGTAACTACATTACTCAGAGCAAGGAACAAGAGGCTATAAAATAGAATATCTGGGGGTGGAATCTCAGAGTCTATACTTTTAATGAGTAACCAAAGTAGGATACACCTTCTGCAAACTGACCTATGAGAATGACGAAGTGGGTAAGCAGATAATCTACTTAAGTTCCTTCCAGTTTTAAAATTCTGACTGTCAATGTCTTTTTGAATTACATTTAACCCAGAAATCGAGGCTGGGTGTGGTTGTTCAAAAAAAAAAAAACAATATTTTAACAAAATTGATATATAAAAATAGGAAATTCGGAGGCTCATTAAGCTTTCAGATCATAAATGTTTAAAAATCTACACTGTTTAAAACCTGAATTCTTTTCCTATTAATGGAAAGTTGATTTTACCAAGAATTTAAGCTTTCCAAGCTAACAGAAACCTAAATATCCCCATAAGATTCACATGGTTAGAAAACCAGTGTTACAAGTAAGTATGAAAGATCTGTAGTGTAAAATAAACAAGATTGAAAATCTATGGAGCATAAGAATTCTCTGAACCTGAAGCTGAAAACAGGCAAGACATAAAAATGGAACTTTTAAGAAAATAGGTGTCACCATTAAAGTATCTTTACGTATCTAAAATATATTCACACACAGTTCAATTTGAAATAAAGACAATTTGAAAGAAAGAATTTCCATACCACTGAAAATTTCAACATTTCATTTTGTACTTACAATGGCTGGAAATTGAATGTCAATGTTTACATCCGAATTTTTGAAACCCAATCTGCTACAGGAAGACCCATATAATCTTAGAGAACAATCTACAAATAAATAAATACATAGAAGGCATAAATAGAGTAAAATTTCTCAAAAAGTTGTAACAAAACACTGCTATTTCAGAAATGAACCATCAATTAAAACTACATACAAAAGCAAAACTGTAATGTATGTCACCAACAAAGGACAGGAATAGGTGGCTATTTGCTCATCCCTTAATTTTATGTAACAGGGAAGACAGCAATGACTGGTTTGGTTTAATGACTATTGATCTCAAGTCAGTTGCAAAACACTTTAAATAAAAATTTTTATTTTATCACTCTTGCATTTTGTGTAGAAAACTATTGGCAATAATTTTCAAAATAAGAAAGCTGAAAAGGGATGTCTATTTTACACTTATAAACTTTATAGTATAGTCAAGAGCTAATGCAAATATTTTTTGTTACTTATTTTATAATACAAATTACTCACAAACAAAAAGTATTTGATATAATGCAATCCCTTGAGAAAAACTTGCAAAATAATTACAATATAACCGATATCTTAATATGCTAGGCAGTATACATTTCCTTTTCAGAGGAGGATATAAGTGTTAACATGTGTATCTTCCATATGTATTTATGGAATTTATTTTCAATATTTTACTATTTTTGCCAAAATATTACCCATTCTTATCAAGAGGACATTTTCTTCCTTCAAGTTTGCCAATTCAAATGATTTCTTTGGGGTTTAAGATGCATATTTTTTTCTTCAGATGGGGACTTACTATGTTGTCCAGTTTGGACTCAAACTCCTGCCTTAGCCTCCTAAGTGCTGGGACTACAGTTGTGAACCATCATACCTGGCTTCAAGAGTTTTCTATTAACAAATCAGGTGTGATAGTCCATGTCTACAATCCCAGTGACTCAGGAGGTTGACACAGGAGGATAAGGAGGCCAGTGTGAGCAACTTAATAATATCCTGCCTCAAAATAAATAAATAGATAGATAGATAGATAGAGCTGGGAATGTAGATCAGTGGTAGAGCACTTGCCTAGCACATGGTTTAATCCCCTAGGTTTAATCCCCCAGTTCTGCAAAAATTGATAAATAGGAGTTTTCTATAAAAAAGTTTAATTTTACATGGAATTTCATAGCAAAAATCAGTGAAATTAAAATTTACTATTTGGGAAATACCTATGTATTGAAATGAGTTGAACTTCCCTCCTATTCTTGTAAAAATTATATGTATATGTATCCATGTATACATGTTATAAATACTTGCATGATCTCCAGGAACAAATAGTTTAAAGAATTATAAGGTGATATATACATAAATAATGAGTCTAGCCCTGTGAATCAGAATCACTTGTGAAATTTTCTAAAAGTAATTGTCCATGACTCCACAGATAATTCTTATTTATGGCAAAATTGAGGATGATTAAGCTATTCCAATCATTTATCTAAATAGGAAGGCCAATGACCTTTCATTGGCAAGGGTTGTTCCTATCAAGACTAGCAGCTGCAGTGTCAAGCATTTACCATACCCAGCCTTAAATTTTTATAAGCAGTTTACTCCAAACATTGTATTCCCTCCCCTATTTTGCACTAAAGTCTACATGAAAAATAATGCAAGTCAGTGGTGTGTGCCCGTAGTTCCAGCTACTCAGGAGGCCGAGGCAAGAGGATCATTTGAGTCCAGGAGTTCAAGGTGAGCTTGGGTGACACAGTGAGACCTCTGTCTCAAAAAATTAAAATAAAAATAGATATAATTTCAAAATATCAACTGAACAGCACACAAAACCCATTATAAAATTATTTATAAACTAGTTTTTCAAAGCTCTTTTAGATCCTCCTGACTCAGCCTACTGAGCTGCTGGGATTATTTGCACCATTGTGCCCAGCTATTTTAATTAAAAAGTATTCTGTCAATTCAGATGGAAAGGTAAACAAATACATACAAGAGTCCCACAGTGCCCCAATATAGGGCAATTAACCATATTGAATTTTATAAGAGAATAATATTTATAATGAAAACAGGTTCACAGTGGCAATGAATGTTTAAAGTCTGTTACCTTTGGAGAAGCCAGGAGAAATAACAACCAAACACAACAACAACAAACATACTCACTAAGGAAAAAAGCTTCAGTACATAACAAATGAATTTTATGAGGTGAAAATTACTTGAAATATGAACGAGTTACTTTTAAGTAGCTAAGTAGAAAAAAGAAATCTAGAAAATACCTGGTAACTTGTGCTGGAACACATTTTCCATGATACATTTGATTTCTAGCCTCTGTTCCAAATTCTCATTGTGTAAGCCAAACTCCTGTACCACTTTGTCAATGGCAATGCCAATTGCATTTATCTGGGAGGGTGTTGGCGGGGGTAACGTAGTGAGCAACTCTTCCTCCTGCTTCTCCTTTTAGGATCAATGTTCAAATTAAAAATGGCTCATACATAGGTTTTACCTTTTATGTTTCACTGAGACAACACCCTATAGAATTTTCAGGAATCTGTTTTTAGCCCTCCTTTTCATCTTAGCTGTGTTTGTCTTTATTGTAACAAACATATACACACTTTATGCATATAATTTGGATCAGTGACAATAGAGAGTAAGCAGGAACAAGGAGAAAGTGTAAGAAAAGAGCATTAAAACCAGTAATGACAGTCTGATTATTTTTTTTATTACTGTCATAAGGACACATATAGGTCCTAACTGTGATTTCCTATACCCTGATTTTATACTTAAGGAAATTCAAAAGACTGCCCAGAAAACACATCTGATTAATTAAAAGTATTTTGGTTAAAACAATTTCAAGAAGTTAATTAAAGTTATTAATATTCATAGCTTTAAGGAGAAGAAAAATGACAATGACAACTGATAGGTAAAAACAACAGTTTGGGTCACATAAAACTTACCTTAATGTTTTTCTTGTGCCTCTTCTCTTTGATATGCTTATGAGCAAATGCAATGGATTCAATTAAAACATCACAGAGTTTGCAGGTGTATTTTGCTGTAGGGCAGTTTCGTGGTCGCTATAATTTAAACAGATTAATCAAAAGGTATATCTCCAAACATCCAGGGGAAAAAAAATAAGCCAGAAAAATGATTTCCCCTTCAGTTTAAAAACCGACACTATGTTACTGTCTTGCTTTATCACTATCTTAATAGTAATTTTTAATTAAGTACAATTGCAACTATTTGGAATTCTATTGCCTCATAATGAATATACTTTTCAATGTGTAATACTTAAATACTGATAATCCAAGTAGTATACCTCAAAAGGGAGGTAGGCTTATTTGTATGATGGGCAGGTCCTAGGACTTCAGAACATGTGAAAAAAAGTTTTAACCCCCAGAAGGAAATAAAATCACTGAATTACAAGGGGAACTTTTTGACAATGCAAAGTGCCACAACAGGGTACAATAATTATCCCAAAAGATTCCTCAGGACAAAAGAAGACTACCTAGAGAAGTTAGGAAGTGATTAGAGGAGAAGCCTGATCCTAAAGTATTTCTTACAGGATGGGGCTGAGGAAGGAGAGATTTAAGGGAGGAGGTTTCATGGTATAGCAAGTTCATTAGTATATTTTCAGAATAATATGCCTGTTAAAAATAAACACTTGTTATTTTAACTTTAAAAAAGTAGGGTTCCGAATTCATCAAAGCTGGTATTTCCAATTACTAACACAGTTTAAACCAGAACAAGGATTTTTATTAGCAAATACATGCTCATAGCTGTTACCCTTTTTAGTCTGTCAATGCAGTCTCTCCTCAAACGCTCCTCAGCCTGCTGTAAGCCCAGTAGCTCCTTTGTCGAAAGCACAGACTCGTCAATCACAGGGCCTTCCAACTCTCCATCCTGTTCATTTTCCTCATTTCTAGTCCTCCTTGGTTTCCTGGGTCTGGACCGCTGCTTCTTGTTTTCTTAAGTTAGGGGAAAAATATTATTGGCAATATTGAATTATACCTCTTCTGGATAAAAAGCAGAATTTACCTATTTATTAATTAAATGGCATGACAGAATAAATCACATCTGAACACAGAGCAAAGGGAAAGGTGGATCTCCATGGACAAAATGTTTGAATAATCACTAAGCACATCATCTGTGATATACCAATCCACAGAAATACCATAACTTCAAAGGAATTCTGCTGGAATGAAGAAAACTGTCATATGTTTTTATGAATATGTCAAAACAAACCTTACTATTAATTAAGTGCACTAACAATAAAAAGAAGAAACAAGAAGGAAAAAAAAAATTTATCCAGGCATAGTGGCACACGCCTGTAATCCCAATGGCTCGGCTCTGGAGGCTGATGCAGGAAGATTGTGAGTTCAAAGCCAGCCTCAGCAACTTATCAAGGTGCTAAGCAACTCAGTGAGACCCTGTCTCTAAATAAAATACAAAATAGGGCTGGGGATGTGGCTTAGTGGTTGAGTGCCGCTCAGTTCAATCCCTGGCACCAAAAAAAAAAGGAAAGAATTCTGCTTTGATAATACAATTTGATTTTCTTTCTTCCCGATATGCTGCTGAGCATTCTAAATCAAGAGTAAAAATTATCCTCTGATGGCAAGTATATATGTAATTCTAATATATTCCATATTAGAATTTTCTAATATACTAACATATATAATCTACATTATACCTAATATTTTATTATACTTGTTACTACATCTGTAGTAATGAAAACTTCCCACGTTTGCTTTTATTTTTTAAGTGACCAATCTTAATAGTGTGAAGTGGACACTATTGTATACTTCTCAAGAATTCAGAAATCCTTATGAGCAGTGAAAAAAAAATCATTTAGTTGTAAATTAAGCCTTTCAAGACATAAAATTGGGGTCTACCAGAAATGGGAAGAAATATAAAATTTCATCTGCTGAGGGCACCATTTCCCATTTTATTTTTACTTTCATTTTAGATTTTTTGAGCCACCTGCACACCTAGCATATCAAAGGAAAAAACAATTGGTAGTTAAAATAAAGGCTTTTTTCTAAGCAAAAATTTATCTGCTTATAAACTCCTGCTGTTACTTCTATAATTTCTAGAATAAATGAATCAGTTCTTTTTTTTTAAGTTTACAACTTTCAACCTGTGAAAGAGAAGATGGTGGTGAGACTGAACCATAAACACTGTTTTAAGTACATCTGTGACTTCTAACAATAAGTTGAGAAAAATAAAGTTATTAATAATATGACTAAAATTTGTTTTCCAAATTAAAATTCTGTTAAGTGGATGGAATCATGTGCAATGGTTTAATACAAATTACTTTTTGGAAATATAAACCTACTGCCCAGCATGAGGCAAATTCCTCTCAATTTTTCAGAACTCATTAACTCATTACTAGTGAGCAAATTACAATGAATTAACTAATTGTAAAAAAATTCAGTGTCAATGGAAGTATAGGACCTCCAGTTTTCAAAAAGGCTATTTTGAGGCTGGGGAATGTAGCTCAGTGGTACAGCACCTGCCTAGTATGCATGAGGCCATGGGTTCAATCCACAGCATGGAAAAACACACAAAACTATAGCTAAGAACTCTAACACACAAATAGTAAGCAATATGCTCAATACACATGAGATGAATGTAATGAAATTTGACAAAAAGCTTCTATAATAAGTGAAAGTTTTTTAAAAACTAAACAATATTAGGGAAAAATGCACTTAAAAAAATCAAAATGGACTGAGCAGCAGGGCACTATGGCTCATGCCTAAAATCCCAGCAATTTGGGAGGCTAAGACAGGGGGATCCCAAGTTCAAGGCCAGCCTTAGCAACTCTGTGAAACCCTGTCAATCAATCAACCAATAAATGGGTTGGGGATGCAGCTCAGTGGTAAAGTGACCCTGGGTTCAATTCTTTTTCTTTTTTTGGTGGTGCTGGCGATCTCCTGGGCTTAATTCTTAAAAAAAAAAAAAAAAAAAAAAGACTGAGCAAATAAAACATCAAAAGATTAATAGTATTTGACTAGGAAATCATCAGGCTACCTCAATACTTCTTCCCCCAATTATCACAAACTTTTAAAGCCAGTAGTACTTATTGTCTTAATAAATTTTTGAGATGACCATCCCTTAACTTAAAAATGTGTTCATTCTCATTTAATTATTATTAGTTTAATCTTTATTTATTTTATTAGTATCTTTTTCTAAATAAATACATTTGACTTCAGTGTTCAGAACATGACAGAAACTTCTTACTTAGGCAAATACTCAAAAAAGAGTTTCAACATGTGCAACACCTTTTTAGAAAAGTCTCATATTCACAACAGTAATTGATATGTAACCAAGTTCCTTCATTAACTTCCTTTCTCTTGTTGACAAAAGCTTTCCCATATAACTATTTGCTGTCATTTTCTAAGGATTGACATCTCTCACCAAAGACCATGATTAACTCCAATTACTTTTATCTGTAGCATGGCTACAGAAATTCTGCCAGATGACGATAACAGTAGCTACCATTACTATTTTATTATGTGGCAGATGTAAAGCAAGCATTTTCTGTGTGCTGCTCTCGTTTAATCCCTACAGTAATCCTGACACGGATATTAATATTTTCCCCATTGTACAGATGGGGACAATGCCAGTCCAAGAGAATTAATAATCTGTTCAAGGATACGGGACAAAGTCAAAGGAAAGGGATTTGAAATACAGATTAAAATATGGATGGATCCTGAAATTCGGCCTTTCATCTTGAAACAGAAAAAATAAAAATTACTACAAAATCTCTTTGAGGCACATACAGACTCACATCTAGAACAGACTAGAAACTGATAGCAGTATAACCTCCTGAACTAAATCTCACAGGCCTGCAGGTATAAACTGTCAAAATCTCATTGGAGGGATTCTTAGAAGGTATAACTGGGTATTGCTAAAAAATTCCCATAATGGAGGAAGACCATCTAGCTCATTCCAAATTTATTGTAATAAGAGATCTCTATATTTAGTATTTGAATTTTCCCAGATTTTATTTGAATATGGTCCATTAGCCCATTCACAAAGGACATGTGTATCTGAGTGGATGTTTTCCAGCTAAAATAATTAATGGCATTTTCCCAAATATGTTAAATTGCAACCTAGGACATTTAAGAGATGAGGTAGAAACAGTAATGTAAACTGATAAACAGAAAAGATGGTATTAAAAAAAAGTAACATTATTTTCATTATATTTTCTCACAGTTTCAATAAGATCCTTCTATTAAGACACATTTTGATTTAAGGACATTTTGATCCCTTTAATGAGATCCTTTTTAGGATCCTTTAAATGAAGAGCAAAGTTTAGATATTAAACTGAATAACAGTTATTCAATTTGAACAACTTCCTTAGTTATTCCTAACACCAAATAAGAATACATGAACTACTTTTTGGGTCTCCAAATGGCACCTTGTATTGTCTAGCTGCAAATTTTTGATCTGTAAACCTTCATTTTTAAATGCTTTTCAACTTTTTCTTTTATAAAAGACAAGCATTGATAATTAAATTTAATGTCCACATTCCACATGGACACTGCAATACATAAATACAAATATACAATATAAAAAAGAAAAACAAAAACTAGAAGCCCAGAAATTATCAATAAATGTTCAGTTTCCCTATTTGGATTCTGGGTCTAGTGAGAATTACTTAATGGCCAGGGCGACGGAGTCCCCACTACTGTTCTACTTCCTCATCTACCACTTTGAATAAACAAGTGTGGATAAATTTAAACTCTCCAAACTGCAACTGCCTAATTTGTAAAACTGTGATTCCACCTTTGTTGTATCATAACAGTGCTCCATCAGAAAATTCCTTCAAGTTCTTTTCAGGCTTAACGACATGTAACGCTAAGGTATTACCTCTACCTATTATTTTAATTCTTTTATAATCTTGCATTCTGTCTCTGCTCCTTGATGTTAGCATTAATTTTAACTTTCCTTTTTCCTTTTCCCCCATTTAATATTAACAAGTGCTTGAGATTTTCACTTTGTACTAAGACTGTCTAATGATTTAAAAAAAAAAAAGAGCTTTTCCTTTTTAAGCATTCTATATGCATGAGTCCCAAATTCAAGTGCCTTGCAAGTAACACATATATGAACTGGCTACTGAGACAACATGAAGAAAGAGGCATCTGGAGACTTAGAAAAGTACCCACATTTGCCTGAATACATTTAAATTAAAAAAAAAAAAAAGTTTAAAAAAAATTTGATTTGGACAGTTTACAATTCATTCTACATGGTCACTACAAAAGACTTTCAGCCAATAAACATAAAAGCCCATTTTTAAATACTATGTTTCATTTTTCCCATCCAATTTATGACTTCCCCTCACCTCAGTGAATATATCCATTAGATAAAAATAACCTTCCTGATTATAGAAATCATTGCTACATGGACATTATCTACCTTGAACCTTTCAGAAAAAAGTATAAATAATCACTCTGGGGTAATTATTATCAAGCATGTGAAGGCACTTAGAAATGGGTTGTTATTTACTGAAAACAAACAGCAAAGCTTTTTTCTGTATTCTGACTTTCTAAACTCATGTTTCCCAATCTCTGTTGCCATGCTTACCCTCTCACCCCTACCCCTCCATGGCCTTGCACAAGCTAGGTAAGTGTTCTACCACTGAGCTATACCCCTAGTTCCCCCCAGATGGTGACTTGCTGAATTCCCAGACTGGCCTCCAATTCTTAGGTTCAAGTGATCCTCCGTCTCCTCAGGGCTGGGACTACAGATGCATGCAACTAACTGCACCTGACAGCTCTTGAAAAACAAAAACCATGGGTTGTTCTCCTCTGGAGATTGATACTTCACCCAAAAGACAAATCCTTCTTTTGGCAGGCAATATATTCAGTCTATATTGTGTTTTCACATTGAATCTTTTTTGTTTTACTTTTATACTGTCACTTATATAATGGACATGTTCATTATTTAAATACAATTTTTTAAAAATTTTTTAGTTGTAGTTGGACACAATATCTTCATTTATTTTTATGTGGTGGTGAGGATCGAACCCAGGGCCTCGCACGTGCTAGGCGAGCACTCTAGCTCTGAGCCACAATTCCAGCCCTAAATACAAAATTATAAACATAATTTTAAAAATACATAATACCACTTAGAAATTATGCTATGGTCCCTAGGGGGATATGATACCCTCCTTCTATAAAAAACATATTTTTTACTGTATGAAAATATGTTCACTAAAGTAAAATAAGCCTTGAGGTAAAATTTTTTTTTAGTATGGGGGATTGAACCTAGAGGTGTTTCACCGCTGAGCTACATCCTCAGCCCTTTTTTTAAATTTTTTCTATTTTGAGAGAGCCAAGTTGCTAAAGGTAACCTTGAACCTGCAATCCTCCTACCTTAGTCTACCAAGTTGCTGGAATTAGCAGGCATGTGCTACACCCCCAGTGAGGTAAACTTTTGAAAGGACCAATATATGAAATGTGTTAGAGGTGCCCAAATGTCATGATTATAAACCTTAAAATAATCACATTAAATAAATTAACACTTCTGAAAACATATACTATGAAAAATTGGAAATTCACTGCTGAAAATAAAACTTATTTGGATGAAAAAGAATAAGACACTGTTGACTTTGGGCTATAACCTTACAAGTTGGAACACATTACCAGGACTTCCTGCTTCCATTTCTGACATGGCCTCTAGGCTTGTTAGGTCTTTATGAAACAGTCTTCTTACAGTTCTGCAGCCTCTTCCATCTTGCCACCTGTAACCATCTTCACTTTCTTGAAAGGCATCTTTCCTTGGTCTGCTTATGATAGGAATTCTAGGTCCAGGTTTAAACTCTCTCCAATTGTCTGAATTACCAGTAAGTTCATCAGATAGCCACCTCTTATTCTGATCTTTGTGGTTGTCATTCATCCAAGTGGGCTGACTGTAAATTGGGTTTTTAAATGCATATGGATTGCTGGAAACAGCGTATGATCCTTTTCTCGCGGTATTCCCATAGTTCCCAGGAGTTAGCTTTTTTTTCGGAAGGCCTTTTTCCATTTCACTGCTATGGCCTTTAGCATAATCATCCATTATTAAATAATCTTGTTGGGGGTGACCCCTTCTGAAATCATCATCATCAACAGGTCCTCGATCTTTACTGCGCTTCACAATATAAGGTTTTGCTGCATCTCCCATGGTCTTTGACTTCAATTTTCTTTCTTTGCACCTGAAAGAAGGCATTTCGGGAAAACAATTAAATACAACAAGATATGATACCAAGTACACAAAATGCCATATCATATTGATGCCCAAAAGTGTGTAAGAAACCTTTCCTTTTTTTCTTTTAATTAAATTTCTATCACATTCCTAATAATCAGTGCATTGCACTAGAAGTTAGGAGACATAGTCCTACAATCATGGGATTCGTACCTAGTATTTTTTGTGAAGACTAAATCTGTGAATAAGAAAAGCTCCTCTTATCCGGAAAACTATTATAGTAAAACGTTATATCACATTGGTAAGCTTTACTTATATACAAAAGCGCCTCTCTTCAAAGAAAACTTCAAAAGCAAACCTCATCCCAAGCCAATACTGCTACAGAACTCCTGAAAGTCTATTTTTTTAAGTTGGCAATTACTTTAAAGTGTTACACAAAGTAACCAAAACTTTATGTAAACAGACTACATTTCCTCTCAACTCCACTCTAGTTGCTTCATCACATTTCAGAACAGACCGGCTTTGATCTCTCGGGCTACAAGAGGGGCTGGGCTCCGGACTAATGAAAGGGACTGGGTTTCTGACCAAAGGACAACTCCAGAGAACCGTCCTATTTCTCATTCTTCAATACTAAACAAGTTTGGTTTTGTCACTAACAGCAATTCTCTAAAGAATGCCACACCTTTTCGATTCTTGTCTTGACTGCCCCACCCCGGTCTGCCTCAGTTTCCACCCCTGACCGTCCGAGATGAAAAAGTAGGAGGCGTACCCGCAGTCCCGGCCACGAAGCCACCGTGGGGACCAGGAAGCAGGAAGTGACCCGCCACTTCGATGGGATTCCGGGGTCCCCCCAGCCGCCAGGGGGCCGGGGCCGAGTGTCTCGACCCAAATCCCTTCTCCCACCCTCGCAGAGTCTGACACAAAGTGAAAAGGCGGACTCGAACCCGAGACCTCAGTTCTAGCCGGCCTGGAGGATCCCTAGACACCGAAACTGGACTAGGAGGCCGCCTCAGGATGGAGCCAACGTACCTATGGGGCCAGGCCCGACCTCTACTTTGGAGACTAAGGAACCCACGGGAGACCCAGCCAGGGGGCGAGTCTAGGAGGGACACAGGGAGAAGGCGCCCCAGAGCACTCACCACCTCCGCCGCGGTCCCCCGCCTCTTCCTGTCCCGGCTGGGCTCCCTCTCCGAGTTTTCCTTCGGTCCCACTTCCGGCGCTCAGCGCTGTCTCATTGTGCGCGATTGGGGGCCGGCTGTGCCCCCGCCCCGGCGCTCCGCCGCGCACGCCGGAAACGCGCGCCGCGCCCGGAGGGCCGCCCTCCGCCCCGCCCGCCGTCGCCCCGCTGCCGGGCCGCCCACCGTCGCCACAGCGCTCTGCCCCCGGGTATGGGTTGTCAAGGCCCAGCCCGGTTACGCCCCTCGGTGCCCGCGGGTGGTTCGCCCTCTACCCCGGCGCGCGGGCAGGGCCTTCTCCGGTGAGCAGTGCCCGGGGCTCCCCGGGTTCCCCTCTTGATTGTGGGCGCTAAAAGCTCGGGGTAGGGTGGGGGAAGCAAGGGGAGCCCAGTCTCCTGCGATCTGAGGGGAGTCGGCACTGGGGGACTCAGCTTTGCCCCTGGATGCTACTCAGTGGCTTCTGGGGGAAATTGAGCCAGCTTCTTTCTATTCCTGTTTTCCTGATAATTCAGAGTGACTTAACGTTTCCGTGAGGTCTTAATTGCCGACCTGGTAGAAAGGTCAGTTTAAGCATCTAATGTTCACCCACAGTTTAATGTGCCCCAGGGGAATGCTCTGCTCTTTCCTAAGGTTGTGACCCTAAGAGAAGATAAGAACAAAGTGAATTTTGACGAACTTGGCAGGAGAGTATGGCCAAAGCACGACCATATGTGGACATTTAAAAAGAAAGATAGCCGGGAATGGTTTACTTTTAAGAAAAGTCATTTTTAGAGAGTGAAAGTGATCAAGTTATATCTATGTATGAATATTCCACAGTGAAACCCACTATTCTGTACAATTATACACCTATTAAAAGTCGTTTTGAAAAGTATGTGTGATGGGAAAGGATGATCAGAGAGGGTCAAATTCAAACTATTTTTTTTTTTTTGATACTGGTTGAACCCAGGGACGCATACCACTGTTGAGCTACATACCCAGCAATTTTTTTTTTTTTGACCCAATTCTGCTAAATGGCCCAGCCAGCGATCCTCCTGCTTTGGCCTCCTGAACGGCTGTGATTCACAGGCCTCTGCCTCAGGGTTAGTTCAAATTCAGATTTTTGAACTGAAGAATGTACACCTTGAACTAGCAAACAACTAAGGGTTGCCTCCCCCCCCCAAAAAAAAAAAAAAATTGGTATTATCCTCCTTGCTACCTGGGATGTTCTGAGTGTTTAAAAAAAAATCAAAATTAATAGAATTAGGGAGTGCTGGGAAAATAGGACAGCTTATTTGTCCATTTTTCTAGAGCTTTTAAATTTAAACCCATGAGATTCTGTTGAGGCAAGAGTCTAAATCAGTAAAATATTGGTTATTGCCAGACATCTTTGAGAGCTTTACAAATATTAACTCATTTAATCATCCTCACAACAACTGCATTAAGAAAATATCATTATTCCCACTTTAAAGATGGGGAAACTGCTGAGTGGGGTGGGGCATGCCTGTAATCCCAGAAACATTGGAGGCTGAGGCAAGAGGATCAAATTGGAGGCCAGCCTCAACAATTTAGCAAGACCTGTCAAAAAGGGCAGAGGATATAGTTGGGGTAGAGTGTGAAGGATATGAAATATAACCGTCAAGGAGAAAGGAGGACAGTTTGTTTGGGGGATGATCTCTGAGCTCTGGACATTCATTCACCCTTTCCCAGCAACAAATTATTCAAATCTTATTTTTTGGAGGGGGGTGGATACTAGGGATTGAACTCGGGGGCATTCGATCACTGAGCCACATCTTCAGCCCTATTTTGTGTATTATTTAGAGACATGATCTAACTGAGTTGCTTAAGGTCTAGCTAAATTGTTGAGCTGACTTTGAACCTGTGATCCTCCTATCTCATCCTCCCAAGCTGCTGGGATTACAGACCTATGCCACCTTGGCTTTCAAATCTCATTTTTATGAATCAAAACTTACTCAAATCCTGTAAAAAAAAAATTAGACCCCTCCTATAATCATTTGCCATTTTTTCTTCTGAAAAAAATGTGCCATTCTGTTGCTTAATAAAGAAAGCTTGCTTTCCATTGAGATCTGGTCTCTGATTATTTTTGCTTTCCTCTGTATAAATAATAAGTAAAGATGGGGAAATTAGCACTTAATGGTGAATGAAGTAAATAGCACAACTGGAATCCAAACTCAGATTATCCTGAGATGTCTGTTCTTAACTAGGTGACTATACTATGGTGATTTTAGGCACATTCCTACAACTTTGCTGTAATTCTTTATTTAGATGTTTTGGGACTGCATGGTGGCACACACTTGTAATCCCAGCAGCTCAGGAGGCTGAGGCTGGAGGATGACAAGTTCAAAGCCAGCATCAGCAAAAGCGAGGCAGTAAACAATTCAATGAGACCCTGTCTCTAAATAAAATACAAAATAGGGCTGGGGATACAGCTCATTGATTGAATGCCCCTGAGTTTAATCCCTAGTACCAAAAAACAAAACAAATCAACCCCCCCCCCCCAAAAAAAATGTTTTGGTTTTGAAAATTCATGGGAATAAAACTAATAATCTTTTTGACCAGCAGGCAGTAGCATTTAGCATAGAGTAGGAAGGGAGTGTGGGCGATACATGATTGTATTTATTATGGGAAAATAGCATTACCAGTCAGGTTAGTACTTCCTATTTGAAAGAATTGGTTTAGGTAAGTCCATCTTGATTTCTGAACTCTAGGGAACCAAAATAGCAAACATCTTTTTAAGGATTTAGAATAGTTCATATTTGCATTTTCTTCAATGCTTTGTCCAAAGTGTAACTTCTCATATTATAAATTAGCTGACTTTAAGATTCATCTTGAGGATATAATACTAATTGAAACACTGGCAGTAGAGTTACTTTCTTGTGACCTTTTATACTGTAAGAGTAATTTAAATTGGTCAGTGGAAATCCTTAAATCTAGTTGAAAAGTTTGGAATTTTCTTTGATGTCATTGAAAGGAGGATTGAGTTTCTCAGAATGATAGCTTTTTGTTCTACAAATATTTTCAACAATTTATAGTAGAAATGTGGGGACAGAGGTTGTTCTCTGGTTGGGAGGTAGCGATACTGTTGTTACCAAAAGCATGATCATTATCCCCAATGCCAGTTCAATAAAAAGGACACAGTTTTGAGAAAAAGGAAAACATTTTGATTGCTTTGCAAGCAAAGGAGAAATATCAGGACTCCTGTCCCAGAGGCTGTGGTTCTGCCCATCTAGGGGAACAGGGATTTTTAAAGAACTGAATCAAAGGCTACTTTCCATGTGTAATTCACTTGTTAATTTGAGAGAGAGTCATTTCTTGTATTTTTTGGTGCCATCGGCAAGTCTGAATTACTTTGTTCCAGTGGTGGGTGTGTGCTCAAGGACAGATAACTGCAGAAGTGGAAGAAAGATAATCCTGTCCCATCCTGTGCCCCTCCCTGCCTTCCCAAGATTAGGGTTGGGAAGAGATTAGGGAGGAGAAGTGACTGAGAAAGGGGAAGAAACATGTTCCTTTTAAAAATAAGTTGCAATCATGAAATGGTGCAACCACTTAGGAAAATAAGCTAACAGTTTTTTGTTTTTTTTTTTAAAGATTAAATATTTACCTATCATGGGAAAAAAAAAAAAAGTTGCAGTGGCAGAGCATAAAATGAACCACTGTTACATTTCCTTATTTTGTATTTTATTTAGTGATAGGATCTCACTGAAATGCTTAGCACCTCGCCATTGCTGATGCTAGCTTCTTTGAACTCATGATCCTCCTGTCTGGCCTCCTGAGATGCTGGGATTATAGGCCTGTGCCACCTTGCCTGGCCCTTACTGTTACTTTCTACAATTCCCTTTTTATGGCAGTGACATCTCTGAGCTACTTTCTGTGTGAATTTGGGGGAAGTGACCTGAAGTTCTTGTTCTCTATCAGGTGGGACAGTTAAGTGTATATATTCAGCATCAGGGCAGACCAGAGGTCCATGGTGGCAGTTGGTAAGTGACTGGACAAAGTTTACATAGGACAAGGATCATGCTAGGACAATAATAAAGACTTCAAAGTATTATGTTTGGGTGAGCAATTAACACAAAAACAATTAGTATTTCTGCCAGTCTCTGAAAACCATAAACAAGTAACTCATAATCATGTCAATGAAAAACAGATCAAGTTTATCTATGTAGAAGGTTAAGAAGATTTGTAGGTCTATGAGATCAGGCTCAAATTGACTCAGGATATACTTGTGACTTTTGAGTCTTTCGTGATCATTATTATTAGGCATTCCCACACAAGAACCCTTCCTTTATAGCTTCCAGCTTTACTTACTTTTGGTAGCGTTGACAGAAGTGTACATCTTAAGTTACATTAAAAAAATTATCTTTCCATTTATGCATTTAGGAACCAGGGATTAAACCCAGAGGCTCTTAACTATTGAGACATATCTCCAGCCCTTTATTTTTTATTTTGAGGCAGGGTCTCACTAAGTTGCCTAGGGCCTTGCCAAATTGCTGAGGCTAGCTTTGAAATTATGATCCTCCTGTCTCAGCCTCCCAAGCTGCTAGGATTACAGGCATGTGGCACCATGCCTGGCTGTCTTTCTTTTTAAATGTCCACATATAGTCATACTTCAGTCATACTCTCCTGCCAGGTGTTTAAGACCAAGTTGGTCAAAATTCACTTTGTTCATATCTTCTCTTAGAGTCAGTGATCTCAGGATTCCTTAGCAATCATTCTTGGGGACATAGTATGAGAAGTCTCTTTCCTCTTTTAGCCTTCCTGTACCAATTGTGTTATCTGCTAGGATGGGTCAAAGTCTTGCTGACTGTATCAGGATATTTCCCTCTTCAATGACCCTGTTCTTTGCAGAATGTGCACTGATTGGCTGGCTTCCTGTTCTCTAGTATCTCCTTGATCCCCCTGATGAGGAGGCTGGGTGACTCCTTGAAGTTGCAGGGTCCTTAGAGGGGTTCTGTCATTCTCTGGCTCCTTGCTGATTTGAGAGAGCAAGGGCCAGAAAATTGGCTGCTTTTTCCTTGGCCCTTTTACTTCCTTGACTTGGGTCTCCCAACTTTTTGGTTTTGAACATCCAGCAGGCCAGTTTCACCAGTATTAAAAGTGGAAAATATGGGTTATACTTTT